TGCATATATTTGATCTTGTTTTCTCTGTCCTGAAGATGCCAAAATTGGGAAACGTTGGCAAGTTTACTGTTCACTTGTATGTTGGAGACTGATGACTTTATAGTTTGGATTGTTCCATTTATAATATTTGTTTTCGAAGTTTTTACTTATTTTAGTATAATAATATAAAATGGTGTTAAAAAAATTAACAAAAACAAAACAGATGTTATATAATATAACAATAATATAAAAAGGTGTTAAATAAATTAACAAAATCAAAAAAAATGTTATATAATATAACAATAATATATAGTAATATAAAAAGGTGTTAAATAAATTTATAAAAAAAAAAAAAAGGTGTTATATAATATAACAATAATATAGGATAATATATAAAGGTGTTAAATAAATTAATAAAAACAAAAAAGGATAAAAAATTAATAAATAGTGTTCATTTGTATGTTAGAAACCCAAGGCTTAAGGTTTGTATTTTTCTATTTATATGACAATCACTTATGTCTTTTTTTTTAGCAATATGTTCATTCATATATAGTAAAATTACTGGTCTTTTTTCGAGATTTTTGCTTATTTTAGTTTTAGTTTTTTTTTTTTGGGGGGGGGGTCATTCCTTCCTCGCTGTTACTAAGGCTATACGGGGTTTTCCCGAGCCAGGGGCTGTGGGCGGGGATCTAAAAGACGCCTTGGCACCGGGACGCGAACTCGTGACTATTTTTATAACACATTTGTCATATATCAGGTTGCCGGGCAACGGTGGTGCTGTGCACAACGCGTTAGCCCATTCTTCCAACCCGCCCACAGTTTTAACTGTTTACTTATATGTTGGAGACTCTAACTGTTTACTTTATAGTTTGGATTAGTATGTTATTATATTTGTTGACCTCTTTGGTTTGATTTTTGTTTTCTCCCATCCTGCCTAATCAGTTGTTTAATAAACTTCCTCAACTGTATCTGTAAAATCTCTTATTTTCTTCAGCATGCATTTAGTTTTTCTTTTTGGATATATATGAAGTCTTGTTTTTCCTGTCCTGAAGATGCCTAAATTGGTGAAACGTTGGCATGTTCAATTGTATGTTAGAGACTAATGGCTTTATGTTTTTTTCAATTATATCCTAATTGCTTTAAGTCTGTTTTTGAAGTATAGGTTTCATTTATAGTAAAACAGTATTAACATTTATGGTCTTTTATACTATTCGTTTTCGTTGGTACTAGGCAACTCTCGAATATCATTTTAAAATACCAAGTTTTGAAACAGGCAATACAACGAGGGAGATCATTTGTTTTTATATAAATAAGTGTTAACAAATAAGTTTTTACAAGAAATTTACTATAATGAGTTGTTAAAATAAGTGCTAGCCATCGGGGGTATTTTTTTCTATTAAGAATAAAGGAACCGCCTATGTTCTTCTGATAGTACGTGGAGACGTTAAAGAAATAAGGGAGCGTTATTTCATGATGTTACTCTTTGGAATATCCGGTTTGTCTTTGAGTGGAAGGAAACATTGGAAGTTGCCTACCAAAAATTTGGATTAATTGGAAGCAGACAGCAACTCGTCGACGGAAATATTCCAGAGAGACCGCTAGATAGAAATGAAGATGGTGGACTTCTTAACATCCAAAGATGATTGCAGACTTTCTAAAATACAAAATTGGAGAATTTCACTACCTTTCTTAACAATACAACATCTAAATGTTCCTACTCCGTAGCACTTTTCTAAGATCTAAAGTAATATGTTTAAAAAATAGCAATAAGCTAATATGTAACTGTAAGACTTGTCAGACTCTTGCGCAAGACCAAGACCAAGAATGAATGCGCAAAACCAAGTCCCATCTTGGTCTTGCATTTGCGTTGGCAACACTAGATCCATCGAATTTTGAAACCATGTAAGTTTTTAATACTCCCAATTCCTTTAATGACTTTGTATTTGTTGTACGGTTTTGAGTTTTCTGCATGAAATTTCCTTTTATTTCATTATTCATTGCTCTTGAGATTCAGAAAAGGTATCTTTACTACTTTATTACATATGACTTCCTTCTTCGAACCCCTGCCTACCGCCGTTGCAGTGTTGGGTCCCTATTATATATATTGTAGATAATTCCTTCAACTTATATATTGCTTTATCCTTGCCAACATAGTGGTGACGGAGTTGAACGTCTCTTCTTAGCCTGCTGCTGTCTCAAACTTCTTATCATCAAAACTTGTATGTCTCCAGAACTTATAATATGGTAATTGGACAAAGTTTAGTAATCCAGCTGCTAAAAGCCGTGTGTTTGTTATCACTTCAGATCTGGGGCTCGTGAGTTGCTTCTACTGAATTTATAATGTTCTCGAATCAATTAATTAAATTGTCTTTATAGAATATTTGTTAATTAATTGATATACCCGTTGCGAAAAACTCCTGATAAAGGGTTCTGGACCATCATTATGAAATTTTGATGTATTTTAAGCTTATCCTTTTTCCCTCCATTTTGAAATTATTATAAAGTACGGCCAAAATCAAAATTAATCCCGAATAAAAAATTAGAGGAGTTAAATGTAAGAGTATATTGGTTATACCAATTATTAAAATACAGTAACTAATATTGTCAAGTATTAGTAACTATTTTGCCATGGTTTTTTTTTTTTCAAAAAATCTTTTTTTTTTTACCAGTCCTGGTCTTGGTTCGACGATCTTGGTCTTCAAGATTCTTCTGCAAAGTGCAAGACCAAGACAGATTTTGGGCAACACTAATAATGGGTTACTTTTGAGCAAAAATTAAATTATGTTACTTCGTACTTTCCCTTTCCTTTTCTATTGTTGGTCCAAATAAATGTTGCTCATGGTTATATTTAATTTTAAAAAGTGATAAACAATGTTTATACAAAGGGGGTATAACAAAAAAATTCAACTTTAAATAATATTTATTTATAATAGCATAACAAATTATTTATAATTTATTCGTGGATTGTAGAGAAGAATCTGATGAAAATGCAAAAAGGTCCCATTAATAATTGAGTTTTTTTATAGAACAGCATACAAATGTGATTACTCTTTATTTGATTACTTGTCTAATTTCATATATTTTCCATATTAGCAGACTATTATTCCTGTTGCAGATTACAAAATGTCACCTTTAGCACAATTGGAATCGAAATTTTGTACTAACAGTGGCGGTAGTGTTGTGTGACTGAGACCTAGTAGCTTCTTCTTATATTAAAAGTATGGTTATTATTTCCATGCTATCATGAATATGATTACACGGTAATTATCTTGGATCTGCCCGCGTTGTTGGACGAAGCTCTGATGAAAGCTTAGGTCTACACGTAGGCTATTCAATAAACGTTACAACAACCTCTTCCCTTCCGACAAACTTCTCCTTGAACCAATCGATAGATATAGATAAGTACAAACTAATATGTTAGTATATTTTTTTTTTCTTTCATAAGGTTATTTAATTTGGAAGGGATGACAGACAGATTGACAAGAAGACTGCTAAGGGAGCAGACGCCGTGACCAGCATGCAGCAATCAGCCTTGGGGGATGCCCCCTGGTAACAAGCACCTCTGAATCCCCGCCTTCAGAGAGAATACTAATGAAAAAAGGCATTAGTTTGGGGCCGGGCGGGTGTGGGCCGCAGGGGTCCTGAAATTGCCTCCCTCAGACTTCAAATGAAAATGCGATTGTCTTCAGCCTTATTGGCTTTGTTTAAGTTAAATTAAGTTTCCCTGTGAAGTATCTGCTTTATCTCTACATGTTTTTTAATGTTTTATTAATTATATTATTAAATATAAGATTATAATAATTAAGTGTATAAATTTACTTTATTTAAAAAAAATAATTATGATAATTATTACAGCAATTTTATTAATAACAAGCAATTTCGATTTCGAACTTTTAACAAAGAGGTATACAAATTTTTAAATAATATTTTTTTTATTGCATAATAGGCTGGAAATGATTCTCTCCAACATTATTTAGTCACATGCATCCTTCTAATACCAACCCCGCATTTAAATCCCGTCTATTAAATCATTTCCATTCGATCCAGCTCCCAACAAATTGTAAATAGTTATGTTTTAAATATTAATACCAATTATTTGTTCGTTGTTTTTATTTATTATTATTTTATGTTTCTATAATTATTGTGTATATTTGTTAATTTCAGAAGTTACGTAATAATAATTTCTTATTATTATTATTATTCTTTTTTTTTACTTTGAATTTATAAATTCAACAATGTTGTTCTTGTTTTGTTTTTTTCAAAAGGTACTGGTTCCGGAATAAATAGAGTGCATTATTATTATTATTTTATGTTTCGATAATTACTTTTTTATATTTATTTCATTTCAGAAGGTACGTTATAATTTATTATTATTATTATTTCTTTTTACGTTACTTTGAAGCTCTAAATTCAAGTTGCTGTTCATGTTTTTTTTTTTTCAAAAGCTACTTGTTCCGAAATAAATAGAGTGTATTATTATTATTATTTTTGTGTGATTCTCAAAAACAAATATTCAGAAAAATAACATAGGTAATTCTATGCTATACTGAATAGAAACTAAATCGAAAAATAACATCTTGAATTGAAATATTAGTAATTTGTGATTCACTTCAATCGATACATTTAAGAGACTAACATGAGTATCGAATTGCCAAATGAATAAATTCTTCAACACTGTAAATATGATGGGGTAATATGATATATGTATGGGATGTTGGAATGGAGTATTTAGTTAGAAATAAAGAAATAAAATATAATAGATGGGATCATTCATTATATGATTTTAATATGATGATGTACTTTTATACCATTCTTGGCCTTGCTTAGATAGAAGTATTACTCATGTCAGTGAAGTGGAATTAGTTCAGTTTGTTTCTGAGATTTTCCATCTCTGTTTGATGTTTTTCTGAGTTTTAACCTACTCATTTTCCCATGTTTATGTAATTTTTTGAGTAGTTATTTTTCATGATTGTTCAGCAGTTTTATTAGCAGAACATTTGAAATATATTTCTTGTTCACAGACGGAAGACGATGACTCTGACTACGGGACAAGTTCGGCGAACGGTGTGGAGGAAAGGCTGTGTTACCTGAGGGACGGGAAAAGGAAGGTGGATTTCGTACTCGTCTACGAGACCGTGGGTCCGTCGAGGCGGGGTTCGGTACCCGCCAGCCAGCTATCGGCCGTACAGGATAAGAAGTTGATGAAGCAGGAGCAATGGAGGCGGAAGTTCATGGAGAACTTGAGCAACGCAGGGCTGGACATGGAAGAGGTAGGTAAGCGCTCAGCGATCATAATTATCTCAAATATGAATATTGTTTATAAAACTGAGCAATCATTGACTTTTTTACTGGCTATGTTGTATGAGATACATGTAAAGGAATAGAACGAAAAGAGCGCATTAATCGGGCCCGTAAATCTAAATCTTATAACAGATTAAATTTTTCTTGCCGTGGTATTCACCATTGACCATCTATCTCTTCTACTTAATTTAAAATGCTACAAATTAATTTTGGCTCGATTCTCTTCATGATCAACATGCCTGGTGATCACCACCATTTTTTGAAACATGGCTTCTGAGAAAGGTTTGTTGGTATCCCGTTTATGAAGGAAGAGCCATCACAAGTAAACATAAACTATCGTATTCATCTCTGAATTTTTTTTTTTTTATTCTCCAATAATGCTAAATTATAGTCTAAAGACAACCGGAATTGAACCCAAGATTTTTTTTGTTAAATAGCAGTAAATGCTCTGGAAGAAAATTACAAACTACCAACATGGAATTAGTGTTGCCCAAAATCGGTCTTGGTCTTGCACTTCGCAAGACTAAGACCAAAAAGGACTAACTATTGAAAGACCAAGACCAAGGCTGGTAAATAAAATCTTTTTTTTTTTTAAATTAAGGCTAAATAGTTACTAATACTTGACAATTTTAGGTACTATGTGTAAAAAATTGGTATAACCAATAGTTAGATTTCTCCTCTCTAAAAAAATACAGTAATATCTTAATAGTAAATATATATATATATATATATATATATATATATATATATATATATATATATATATATATATATATAAATATATATATATTTCATTTTGTGGGGAGCATCAGTCTAAAAGCTCCCTCCTCCACTCCTCCGCATATCCGCCAGTAAAGAGGACTTTAATTTAAATTAATTAATAATTAATTAGAATTTTAATTTTAAAAAATGTTTTATTTTCAGTTGGCATGTAAAGTTAAATTTAGTGTTCTTAAGTAATTTTTATTCTGTGGTGTAGGACCTATAAACTTTTTTATAGTATCTATAAACTTTATTTAACATATAACACTTATAGGACCTATAAAATATTACTTTTAGTGACTTTCCTGGCATATTTATATGAGCTATGAACGCCCTGTACGTACAGAAGTTAAGAAAGAGCAGCAGAATGCTTCATAGTAAAGTTCGCATCTTCATGGAGTTAATAACTTTTTTTCTTTCATAAAAGTGTGAAACATAAATTCAACTCTGAAGTTGCTTGAGTATTTATTAAACACATAAACTAGCATTTTCAAGTTAATCCACTATCAGCCATATTTACACCAATTTAAAAAAATTTGTTGTCACTTAATGACTACTCATCAAAATGACGACGTTTCGGCTCGTCGAGCCATTTTCAAGTCATTTATTGTATTCACAATTGTAAAAAATTGAGTAATATTGGGAATATTATTAACTGGGAGGCCTAATAACGACCCAGAAAACATGCCGAAGGATGAAGTATGGAAGAATTGGAAATTTACAATTGTGAATACAATAAATGACTTGAAAATGGCTCGACGAGCCGAAACGTCGTCATTTTGATGAGTAGTCATTAAGTGACAACAAATTTTTTTAAATTGGTGTAAATATGGCTGATAGTGGATTAACTTGAAAATAATAGTATGCACCGAAGAAAAATTGAGTAATATTGTAAACTAGCATGTTTATAAGACTAGTTCGTTCCATATAATCAGATTTTACTCTTATCCGCATTTCGGATATTACTCTTTTGTTGCTTGATTAAAATACATAATTTCGACTCCAGCAATGGTACTATAATATTAATAAAGGATTACTGCTAACTCCTAGATATTTATTTCTTATTACCTTTATATAATTTTTTTTTTTTATTTGAATATATTTGTATTAATATACATACATATTTCATTTTTCTGAAATTACTGTTATTCACCAGGGATATAGAATAAAGTACTCTCTCTCTCTCTCTCTCTCTCTCTCTATATATATATATATATATATATATATATATATATATATATATAGAGAGAGAGAGAGAGAGGTAGCCGTGCAAGCTAAGGCGCTTGCAATAGGAACCAAGTTTATGGGTGATAAATAGTCAGGAGGCAGTCATTATACAAACATTTTTTTATTTGTGCCAACGTTTCAACCCAAACAAGTGGGTCATCTTCAGGGCATGGTTCGAGCACTGAAGGCGTTCAAGTCGTGCTTTTAAAGCATAAGAGGAGTCTGCAGCAAGACTGGGCCTAATGGTGAATGTTTAAAAAACGAAATATATGTGCACCCTACCTACCCACGAAGATGGTGGGAGTCATGTCTCGATAGGTTGCCATAGATTTGAAAGAGTGGAATCATTCATATATCTTATATCCCAGATCAACCGTAATAACTACATTGAAGAAGAAATCCAAAGACTGATCCTCTCCGCAAACCGCACCTATTTCTCCCTCCATAAACTCTTGAGAAGTAGTGTGTTGTCGAAGGCCTCGAAAGTGAGAATTTATAAGATAATCATACAACCAGTTCTTACAAATGACTCAGAATGTTGGAATACAACTAAAGCCCTTGAGCATCTCCTTCTCCGTTTCGAAAGTACCACCTTTGCCGTATATATGGTGGTATATTTGAGGAGGGACTTGGAGAAGAAGAACGAATGCTGAGTTAAGAGCGAGGTACAAAGAAATAGACGTATCAACAATCTTAAAGTTGTCAAGACTTCGTTGGGCTCGTAACGTCATAAGGATGGATCCAAACGAAGTTCCTTACAAGATCTTAGCTGGGCAAATGTATGGTACCAGGCGGATTGGACGTCCTAGACTTCACTGGGAAAACTGCATGGATGCATATTATTGCATATAGATTTATTAAAAATCATGTAACAAGAACTAAGAACCACGTAACCAAAAATCAGGATCCTCCCAAAAAAATCATTCTATATTATTTCAACTCTGTATTATACTGCGTGCCTAATTAAAAAAAAATGTTTTTTTTCAAATATTAAATTTAACATTTTCCTTTGATTAATTTAACTTTGTGCTATTTAAGTCTACATGGTGCTGCCTGCACGTCTAATCGCATTATCGACTAACTACCATCGAAAACAATAAATCTCCTTGATTTACGATTGCTATTAAGCTTCGTATCTAATGGTCCTGAGAAGAAGGTTTTACTGTCCTAATTTATATCTGGAACTTTAAATTTTGTTTTAAATGAGTTTGACTTAATTTTGGAATGCTGAGATCTCCTTGTGTCTATGGTTCTTTAACTTTTTGTCACGCAGTATATTGAAATAATTAAACAAAATCCTAGGTACCTTTATGATTTATTAAAATTATTTAATTTTTGATGAATCACATAACTAAACATAAATATAAATAAACTAGAGACATCAATAAATTATTAAAAAAGATCTTTAATAAAAATCAATAATTGTGTTTTTCTATTGTTTAAATTATTTATTTGATTGATTACTTTAATTATTATTCATTTTAAAAGATTATTAAGGTTACATATTCAGAGCTAACTTATTAAATAACATACCATTTATTCGTCACAAAAGTAGTACGGCACACATGAAAGTTACTCTCTTTCGTAAATTATCTTAATATAAAAAAACAGATGCCTAAATAAAACAGTCACAAGTCTTTAAAAATATTTATTTTCTATTTTATAAAGAAAGAAAGTCCGTAAAACCGTTACACTTACGATTATAGCTTTCTAGCCATCTGCGACGCAAACACATCGATGATGTTTTCGAAATTAGTTTTATCCGTTTCTTCTAGCTCTGAATTGAACATGCCTAGGTCATATAACTTTTCTTGATTCATTGTAGCCCTCAATGCATTTATATATTGTATTTTGTAATAAATAAATTCCTAGGAGGTAGGAGAAAAAAAAAATGTAGTCTTCAAATACGAAAATATTAATTTAAACTTACTGAAATATTGCTCACAACTAGCGATGGATACCGTAATTGATAGCATAATTTGAATGGGAATGAACAGATTCGGAAATACACTTTCATTACTTTAGTGCACAATAAAATCAATTATCTCTTAGACTTTCTTTATATTGACGTTTTTTCTGTTACATAATTAACTTTAGAACATCAATATTTCTTCATATAATTGTTCTCCTTATAAGAACTCAGGATTATTATCCTGTTAAAATATGAATGTTCGTTCTATACTTCATTTTTTTGCAGTAGTCATAACAGACTATAAAAATAATATCAGGAATAAACGAGAACAATTAGGAAAACAAGCTAGAACAGATAATATTCATAGAATGTTTAAAAAATGTAGATTTAAGGTGAGAATGAATAGAAAAAAAAACCTCTCATAAATTTAATGAATAAGAAAAACGGTTTGCTATCGGCAAATAATTATGTAATTTTTTCAGATGAGAATAACTTTAATATTGATAGTTTGGAGAAAAATTGGAAAGGGATTTGAAGTCATAAATTTCTGAGCAACAATGAAAATTAGAGCCCAGCAATGTTCTTGTGAGGGTTCATACGAGTATGTCTGCTTCAGAGTCCGGACATTTGTCGATAGAATAATAAAGAAGTATAAATTTAGATTAATTAAAAAGATATTTAAGGAATGGTCATGAAAAAACAATGGGAATAGACCGAACATTCAAATTTTAACAGAATAGTAAACCTTAGCAGTAAGCTCTCCACGCACAGTAATGGCTGCTATATAATTATTCAAATGAACATGAAACTTGTCTCCGAACTAGAGAGTTGAATCCTATCGAACATTAATGGGCTTATGTTGGTTCCCAGCTCTGAAATAAAACATAATGTCTGTAATATATCTTAAATTTTATACTTTAATTTGTGTTAAAGATTTATGTATTTATTGTTAAGTAAAAAGTAAAAATTTCAGTCGGATATTCATCTAGAGGTGGTAGTTGTTATTTTTCGATCTAGAAATTTCATTATAATTATGAAGAAATAGAAAAGGAAGCGTAATATAATGTTCAATCAAAATATTAGAAATAAAAGGCTCAAATTGATGTTAGGCTTATATAAAAGTGGACATAAAGTTGAATATGTACTATGATTGAAAATTAGCAATAAAAATAATTATAATTATATAATAATATAAATCGCTAGTAAGGCGTGATGTATAATATAGATTTTTTAAAAAATTAAAAATTTGTCTGAGCTGTTGTTTTTCAGTTCATTTTACGTTGGTAACAAATAATACAATCAATGTAAATTACAGTTATAGAATTTGAGAAACGAATAGTACAATTAAATGAACAGTTGTATGATTTGTAAAATGGGACTTGGTCAGGCCGACAGGGGGTACCCTCTCGTAAATAATATAATTAAACATTAATTATGAAATTTGTGAAATTATGTTTTGATAACTTTTTTCCAATAATGTTCATATAAATTAAGATCAGAAAGATAACAGTTAATAAGTTGTAAAAATAGTTTATTTTTAACAAGAAAAAAAAGTTAAATAATAAAGAAAAGAAATAATATCAACTTTTTTTAAATAGTCTATTTCAATTTGTGAGCACTGTATATTACGGAGCCAACTTTCAGGGTAAAATAACTTTGTGATTAAATAACAATAAAAAATTAAACAGAAAATGCAGGGATCATTTACGCTTACTTTTCAAAATTATTTTTTATTAAATAAGCTTGTCCTCAGAGTGGTCCTTCTTATCTTATCACAATTTACTGTAATTACTGCTACTATTGAAGTTTAGTGAGTAAATATGAAATAAAAAGAAGTAAACCAGAAACTAAAATCGAATAGAGAGGTTTTTAAACAGTTATTCAAATAAAGATATTAATTAATCTTATATTAATGTAATGAATTTATCATTTACTTATTTACTCTATGCTCTTATTTACTTTTGACTTTTATAGGAAGTGGTTCAGAGTTCTAATCGGAAGCTGGTATACTTCATTAAGATACATGCCACTTGGCCTGTTCTGTGCCACTATGCAGAAGAACTAAATATGAGGGCACCCTTACAGGTATGGATAACTAAGTAAACTATTAATATTTAAATATTTCCATATGCTACTTTTCAATGCTCTTGAAAAGCAAATTTGTTTTATTAAACTATTACTTATTGCTGCAACATAATAATAAAAAAGTAAAATCTTTTTTATAATTCAACATTATTGTACATTTAATATTCATAGCAAGTTATTCTGAAACTTGTTTTTATTTCATGGATTGACTTCGGTAATTGTGTAGCAACAGTTTAAATTTAATTATTGGAGGCTTCTGATGATTCTCCCCCCCCAAAAAACATAATAATAATAGACAATGCAAATTCTATTATTAGATAGTATACTACGAAATAATGTTTTCAATTACGGAATAACACAATTTTATTTATAATCAAATAATTGTTTTCATATATTTTTATGTTTCATTAAATAAAAAATGTATTATTTTCAAAAATGTAGAGGGTTTAAAAATGAAAATTAATAGTTCTAAAAACATATTTTTTATTAATGAGCAACTTATAATTTTGAAGTATATGTTTTCTACTTAGAAACAAATCAAATATTAAATTATTACATTATTAAACCTACAATAATCTAATTATAACTACGAATGGTGCTGAAAAAATTTAAGCAATTGATCTGTTCATACAAAGTTTTTTTTAAACGGTTTAAATTTTGAAAACAGTTATTTTCCAATCAATTAAAAGTAATGCTACATTGTGAGATTAAAATCTTTCTTTGTGTTATAATCAAATTAAAATAAATTTGGGGTATTATTTTATTAAATAATATATTAATTTAAGTATTTAAGTATTTTTTTGTGACTCAATGAAAAATGTTAAGACTGATTAACTTTAAATTAATATATTCAATTTTTTTTTTTCACAACTTTACATACTCCTAAAGAATGTACATGAAAATTGTGAGGTAAGAAAATCCTATGAGCTATACTCAAACATTCATTAGGCAAAGCACATTTGGCTAATTAAATAAACATATTATATTAATAAAAATAAGCTTCTAGGTAGCTTTCTGCTTAATTTATCTAAGCTATTGGTTTTTAATTTTTTTTTATTTGCTTCAAAAATCTCGATCATTCAAGGTAACTTTTATTTATTTATTACTGTGATTGGCCTACAAATCGTAGTATTGTAATAAAAAAAGAAAATTAAAAGTGTTTGTTATATCAAATTGAATGTATTTCAAGATGAAATCATTCCTGTATTGTTCATAAAAGTAGATGATAATATCTATTTTCAAATACGGTTTAAACATAATATTGGTTTTACTAGTTTTCCTTCAAAATGAGATTTTATTCCCTTACAAAAATTTTATAAATTAACAAATAGTTTTACTCAATTTTTCTTAACATTACGATAATTACATGTGGTTCATAGAGATATATGATACATGGTTTTCTCAAAAAGAGTATGTAAATTTGGCTTTTTTTTTTTAAATGTTAACAAATCTTATTTTCTAATATAATTTAGAAATGCTACAACTATCACCACTCAGAAATCAAATAAATTTTATGTTGAGCTCTAAAAAGGCCTTCTCTTAGAGAAAAATATTAACTTCCCTCTAAATCTTAGAATATACTTATCCTACTCCCTCTTTAACACTCCATTTTGAATGGAAAGCTTAATCTGAATTACGCTTCCGAATCACATCTAAGGAAATGTGGAATTACAGCAACTATTTCTATGAGATTTATATTCTCTGCTTGATAATTATTATAATCAATGAATGTTATTAAATGTGTTAATTAAATTATTAAATGTTGTTTGCTATTATATATTTTTAATTTCGTTTTTTAATAATTAACAATTTAAAAAAATAAAAATTGAAATGAATCAATTTGCTGGAAATTAAATTTCTTTATATTTAACACAATATCCTAGATTATACCAATGTAACCTATTAAGGTTTTTTTTTTGTTTGTTTTGTTTTTTATATTGTATATTTCTCTTTATACAAATATCAAGACACATTAAATTATTTGTTTAATGAAAATATAATTAAAAATTTCCTGTAATAATAGCCTTCTTTAAATGTGGTAAAAAAATATATATATATATTTATTGCAGTAGTATTTCACAGTTTAAGCTTTTAGTATTTTTTAATATGCTTAATAGTGCATCGGGAATACAAAAAGTGACTCACAAAATTGATCAAATGATGATATTATTCATTTTTAAGTTATTGCAAAATTGAAAATATTTAAGCGCCCAGATTGTTCCCTCGTTACTGAGAAACATAATGGGGCTATAATAATATGATATAATGTACCTCAAAATTGCCACTGCCTCTTATTGAACTTATTACTTTTTGCACTTGATGAATTTTGTGAACAATTTTTTCAAAATTATTTTTGTTCAGAAACAAAAAATTTTTTTTTATTCTGCTTGAATTTAAGTATTTATAATTCCTTAATATTATCCATTTGAACATTATGATTATTATTTCTTTATTATACATATATTTTCACTTTTCAATAATATGATGAAACTTGAAAAAAAGAATATCTTACTCCTCTACAAAGAGAATAAGTAGATTTAAAACCCAAACAATCGTCAGTTTCTTGTCCACTTATATTCCCTTTCTTAAGAGGCTAGTATAAACACTCAATATAAGATATTTGGGTAATAATGTTATTTTTAAGTGATTAGTAATAGTCAGGGAAAATAATATTCACTGTTTTAATGTAACTAACAAATGATGGTTCCGAGAGAAGTCAGGAAAAAAATACACATTTAAGTATAATACTTATTTACATTTGATGTGTGTCGAATATGTAAGCCTCCATTGGGTTGATTGGATGAGAGCAGGGTGCCCAGAAGGGGATTTGATCTGAGGGGGCATATTTTGACAGTTTTTGAATATTTGAGAAGGGCATATTTTGGCGGGGTTATGAATTTTCAGAATGAAAAGATTTATACTAAGGGACAAGGGGAAAACATGGAATAGGCCAGTGCAAGTGTAATTGTATATGACCTACAATTTTTCTTATTCTACCTTCAATTGCTCTGTTTTTAAGAAAAGTGGGCAGTAAAATATCTTGAGAGTGGGAGTGGGATAGGTTCTTGCGCCATCGACCTTTGGGGGAGGGAAAAGGGCACCCCTGGATGAAAGTGCACTTCTCTTGTATTTAGAGCTTAGAATTCTAGAAGAAAAATGTAAGAATGCTAACCTTGAAAAAATAAAATGATTTCCAAGCGGAATTCTATTGTTTTTCATTTTATAATATTTGTTGTCAATAGTGTTTTGATTTGTTTCTCTTCTATATGCCATTTTTCATACAGGCTATATAATTAACCTTGACAGTCCTGATACTTTTCAGGATTGTGGTCTAAAAATTCAATTCAATTCAATTAGATATTATTATTAAAAATTCTAATTTTAGTACACAGCGTTCATCAAAAAATACTGGTCATTTCATGAAAACTACAAGAATATGTCACCTAAACAAACTAGAAGATAATTCATAATCTCGCATCCTAGGTAACAAAAATTTAACTCATTTGTTAATTCATTTAACAAGTAAAGAAGAAGAATAATTGATTAGATAGAGGATTTTTAATTTGAAAATTAAAAATATTGGAAAAATCCAAAAGTTTTAGATATCGATGATTTATTGAAAATAATCGTTAAATTACATTTTAGAAGATTAAATCACTAAGTTCTTTAATGAATTTTCCCTCAGTGAAATCAAAACATTGTGCACTTAATGTAATCATATTTGATGAATAAATGGGTTTTTGTCATTTTGATGCACTTGGTGAGTTTTTCTGTCAATATATTTGGTCATAAGTCTCAAAAATGTGCCTAAAAGTTTAGCTCCATGGAAAATGTACTTAGTAACTTTTTGAAATAAACCAACAATATAGTGTTTTCTGAAAATTCAATTTTGTTTTTTAAATAAATAGATACTAAAAATAAAATAGACTGTTATTTATGATGTTGATTCCTTTTACAATTGTAACTTTGGAATTCAGAAATCCTTAAATCACTACAAATTTAAATTATTTTTTATATTATAAAAAAAAGTTTAGGCAATGAGCAATTTATGTTTTGTTTACGTATATAAATAACTATAGTATTACTTTTTATAAATGTTAACCTGATTTCATTAAAATAGGCACATCCGAACCCTTCTGTCAATTGGTCAGAGATTGCATTGAACACTTTGAGACTGCCTAATATTATGTATCAAGATGTTCCTTGCAAGCCATTAGATTTCTACACATGCCCTTTTCGTAAATCTAAGATTGACAGGTGATAAAAATTATGAAAGTTATTTTTAAAAATTGATTTATATTTAATTTATTTTGTGAAAATAATTTGTTCCATAGATTTTTAGGAAGTGAAAATCAAGAAACATTTTTCTCTAACACACAAAGAAGTCGGATAGTGTATGAAATATTATCAACTGCTATGTTTGGTAAGAAGAAAAAAGGCGAAGTTGGGATAGATCGATTGGTCGATGAGGGAATTTTTTCTTCAGCCTTCCCTCTTCATGATGTATGTTGTGCGATAGAGTATTATATTTACAAATTTTTTTTAATGGATAATTTGAATTTAGTTTTTACAAATAAAACCCAATTCTAGGGTCCTTATGAAGTGAAGAAGAATTCAAAATCTTCTCCAATGAATCCACGACAAGTATTGTACGAGTATTGGGCACGCTGGGGTTGCTGGTACAAATATCAACCACTGGATCATATTCGAGAATACTTTGGAGAGAAGATAGCCATTTATTTTGCATGGTTAGGTGAGTAAATTAGGGAATTGTGTGTTGCTTTTTACTTAAGAGTAATATTTTTGAATTTAAAAATTGTAGAAATATGTCCGAATAGTATATAGATTTATGTGATAACACACATCAACAAAATAATTTCCATGATTAAGGAAGTTCATTTCTCATGTTTTAAAACTATAGCAAGCAGCCATTGTCTTTTAACAAGATATAACTTAGAGTGTTTTATTTTTACTAATATTTTATCCAATTTTCATTTTAACATATTTTCATAAACTTTTTCTAACATTGTGTAGACCTTAAGCTTTTGTTTCTTATATATATATATTGTAATGTTATCGTTTCCTTCAAAAGTAAACAAACAGTTTCTTATTCAAATAACATTTATTTCTCACACAATAATTAATTCCCAGGTTAGGTTTAGACAACTAACACACATCCTCATTTATACAATATAAAAGCATACATAATTTTATAACACTTATTAATAAATTTCCATTCTATTTGTCGGGGTCTAATCTCGGCGTGCGTTCGATCTGTCTATTTATATATTCTTCACTCACCCTGTGATGCAGCTACTTCTCTTCTGTACTGGTGCATTCAACTTTCACAAACTTTTACTGTTCACACTCACTACATTGTTCTTACATTTTCTTCTCACTATGCTCCATCCTAGCCGGCTGACTACTTTCTGCCTAACATATGGGGCTTGCTTCCCCCACCATCTGTCATTCCTGTCAGTAGTTCCTGACGTCACTACCTTTGCGCCGATATTCAAAAACACTATGTAATATTGACATTACAATATATATATATATATATATATATATATATATATATATATATATATATATATATATATATATATATATATATATTGTAATGTCATTGAGGCATTCATTATCATGTAGAGGCTTTCAGATGGACTATTACGAGCTACATATCCTGCCCATCTTAACCTCCATGCCTTCATATCATGGGATATTGATTGACCAGTTTCTGTAAGCAGTTCTTTACTGGTCTTTCTTCTCCATGTGTTAGTACTCTGATCCCAGACTGCTCTGGTTATAGTGCAGAGGATTTTCCTCTCAAATCTTTCAAAACTTTTTTCTAGAGTGCTGGTTAGTGTCCAGGCCTCACAGCCATATATTAGAACTGGCTTTATCATAGCATTGTACACCCTTAATTTGAGATTTCTTGAGATTTTTCGGGATTTTAATATCTTTGAGAAGGAGAAGAAAGGTCTGTTTGCGCTAGTTATACGCTGGTCTATTTCGGCTTGTTGGTTATTTATTGAGGTTATTGTGGAGCCAAGGTATTTGCTGTTTTCTACTCTCCGGAATGATTTTCTTCTACGCAGAACCTGGTATTGGGATGGAATTTTTGTCTTGTAATCAAATATTTTGTTTTGTCTTCATTTACTTGTAGGCTGATCTGTTCTGCCTCTGAGGTCTATATATATATTGTTAGTTACGTTTCCTTTGAAAAGTAAACCAAACCATTTCTGAATCAAATCATATATATTTTACACAATAATTATTTCTCAGTTTGGGTTGAGACGACAAACAAACATTCCTCAAATATATAATACAAAGGCATACATTAATTTTATATAACATATTTATGAATTTTCATTTTTTTGTCGGGATCTACTCTTGGTGTGCTTTCAAACTGTCACTATTTATATTTCACTCACCCTGCAGGGAATTTTCCTCTGTATAGTTATATACAACTTATATGATCTATTTTCCTTTGTCAAATTCACTACTTGTTAGTCACATTTTCTTCTCTCATCCTCTTTACTAGCCGGCTGGCTATCTTCTGCCTAACATATGGCACTTGCTTCCCCTTCCGTCTATCTTTGTCCATTTTCGACAGTAGTTCATGACGTCACTGCTTTCACACCACTATTTAAAATCACTATGTAATATTTACATTACAATATATATATATATATATTGTAGAATAATTCAGTGCAGTATTGATCATTTTGAATTGTCGTTTTTCAGGATTTTATACAGGCTGGCTTCTTCCTGCTGCCATAGTTGGACTGTTGGTATTTTTATATGGTGTTTTCACAATGAGGTATAACCAACTTGCTGTTGAAGTATGTGAAAATCCTAGAGCTTTTAAAATGTGTCCACTCTGTGATGAGAATATTGGTTGTAATTATTGGTATTTGGATGATATATGTGGTTATGCTAAATTGGCATACCTCTTTGATCATCCTGGCACTGTATTTTATGCAGTGTTTGTTTCGTTTTGGGGTAAGTAGATTTATTTGTATAATTTTTATATTTATTTTTATGATAAATGTTATAAATCCTGCATGTGATAGGTGATGTGCACAGCTTGGAAACAATCATCTGGTATTTTGAGTTCAGTTCATTGAACAAACACCCACAAAACTTTATTTCTATATGAAATATGAATCATTCATTACTTAATCCATAAAAAATTTGTATGTTTGACAATTTGAACAAAAATTAAATAATTTGGTATTTCCCAACAATTTTGTCTCAGTGGTGTAGAATGTACCAAAATTGGTTCTCAAGTCTTATAACAGGTCGGGTTTTTAAATTATAGGGGAAAACAAAATCTTTTACTATCCTCTCCACAATAAACTTTGTCCTCCATCCAAATTTTCTGGAAATGTAATTAAATTAAAAAATAAGACTAATACAAATAAAACCATCATTCTGAACAGACATCAAACCTATGCAATTTGTTTTAATATTAATTTTCACCGGATAATCTCATAAAAATACCATAAAACACAACAATATTATCAATTTTAAATTAAGAATATTTCTCCGATGCATAATGTTGATTTTAAAAAAAAAAAAATTTATTCTTGAATCTTTAGTTAAATATTTTGTAATTATTATAAATATATATATTTAAACATTTAGTAAGTCAGTTTTTATTTAAATGTTTCTAATCTTCATAACTTTCACACAAGACCGTTGCCTAAAAATATTAGATTTATTTTTATTCATAAATTTTTAAAATTTAAACCTTAATACAGTCATAATAACAAAAACATGTAAAGCTATCAATTTACTTTTTGTTTTATTTGATTTGGAATAGCAAAATAGATAAATAACCTCCCTATTTGAGCTGTGAAGTCAAATATCTAATATTAGGTAGGTGAAGTTTTTTTCCTTAAGATAAGGTGCTTTGCATCACTATGCGCCACCCTCTGGATTAAACACAAATAAATCCCATAAGCAGAGTTGTCGCATGAGTTTTTGGTGCCTGGGGTAAAATTGTTTGTTTCAATATTTGCCCAGAGGCAACTGCCCCTGTTGCTCCATTCACATGGGCCCTTCTCACATGGTAAGATATCTCCAAACTATTTAGCCTAATGTCAGACTGAATCCTTCACAAATTCTCAAGAGTGACAATGACTCATTTACAAAGTCTACTCGGCCAAGGCCAAGAGCTCATCAACCCTACACATTCATATGACTAATTGCATATAAAATTTAATTTTCATTGTGTATGATAGTTGCCTTTTGCAATTGGTTATTAAATTACATTATTGTTTTGTTTTTTTGTATGGTTTCTTTGCATTATGATTTTATAACATAATAAACTATAACATGCCATATTGATGGTGCACCCAGACCAAATAGCTAGGAGGCCATAGTTTGGAGACCACTGATCAAATAGGTCTCTAAGCACTAATTTGTAATTATTATTATTATTATTAATAAAAGTTATTCAAACCATTATTTTTTTCATTGGTTCTTTCAACATCAAATCACAAATATATCAAGTGATACCTAATTTTTTTAATATCAATATTAACTTTATTTCCTTTCCTTTACAAAATAACAAATGAACTTTTTTTAGCTGTAACATTCCTTGAATACTGGAAAAGAAAATCTGCCTCCTTGGCTCACCATTGGGACTGTATGGGATTTCAAGATGAAATTGAGAGGCCTAGACCCGAGTTTGCTGCTCGGGCTCCCTTTCTCGAACGAAATCCTGTTACTGGGATCCAAGAGCCATCATTTCCAAGATCTCTAAGGAATAAGAGAATAGCTGCAGGACTTGGCATTGTCTTCCTAATGGTATGTTTAAAATAAATTTTCGCTCCCCTATTTGAATAGCTCATAAAGTTAATTAATGAAGTATTATATTTTCAGATATCTCTTGTTATAATATTCATAGTGGCTGTGATAATATACAGAGTACTTGTTTCTATTCCTCTTTTTCAAAATGCTACATTCAGGTCACAAGCACAAGCTATTGCAAATATGTCTGGTGCAGTAGTTAACCTTTTTTTAATTATGGCAATGAGCAGAATATATGAAAAATTAGCATATAGGCTTACTTCATGGGGTACGAAGTACACAAATATTTAAAGAGTATTATTGTGAAAAGCTACACTTAATTACCATAGATAACTTTATATTACAGAAATGCACAGAACTCAAACTGAATTTGATGATAATTTGACTTTCAAAGTTTTTATCTTCCAATTTGTAAATTATTATTCTTCCATATTCTATATTGCTTTCTTCAAGGGAAGATTTGTAGGATATCCAGGAAACTATACGTTAATTATAAACTTGAGAAATGAGGACGTAAGTTACAAAATAGAATGTTGTTAAAAGTTTTGATGTTTTGTTTTAACTTTTATAAATTACCGTAATTTTTTTTAGTGCAGTGCTGGAGGATGTTTGATTGAACTAGCACAACAGCTTGCTGTTATCATGATAGGTAAACAAATAATTAATAATGCTCAAGAAATAATTGTGCCCAAACTGAAAGCATGGTGGCATAATAAACAGGTTTGTATATTATTTTTATATTACTTTCATAATTTAAAGCAACTATTGGAGGGTATAAGGGAATATTTTCAAATGTTATTCTTCTAAAATAGTACACAACTGATCTGAAAAATCTGATGTGTTACTTATACCATACAAATATATCTGTTATCATTCTATTTTGAGTAGAAATTAATATCAAATAAATTAATAAATCTTAAGAATATTACCCTAACAATAAATGTAAACTAAAGAGAATTATTTTAAATAACTATAATCTTGTGCACTATTTATTTTTGTTTTGTCACAATAAAACTAAACTTTATAAGTTTCTCTTGAACTTCCATTTAATTTCTATGGGTGCATTTGTATTCTATTCACTAGTATAAAAGTAGGAATCATTAACAAGATTTTTGCATTCATTTTTTTGGCTTCCATAACTCTAAGACTATTAAAACAAACACATATCATTTTATGAGATTTGGTTATTTGGGAGCAAAGAATCTCAGAACTTTTAGTTCCATTGAAAAATTTGTACTATACAGATACACAAACATGGTCGCCCACATAAACACCATTTAAAAAAAAATTACTTTCCGTTACTCTACATTTTGTGAAAGTGAAAATAAAAATCATATTTTAAATGTACTATCACAACTTGTTATTATATGATTACTTCTAAATGAAAAAAAAAAATTGCATAAATAAGTACACTTTATAATATTATAAACAATGTAACCATTAATATAGAGTTATGTAAAAGCACAAAAGGTTTTGAAAGGAGAAATATACAATAGATCTAGTAATTAATATAAGTAATAAAATTATAAAGAATATGTTTGTGACTATACATTTTTTGAAAGATACATTTAAGAAACCTTTAGAAGCATTTATTTAAGACATCAGTAAAAATCGAGAGAAGAAATTGAACTTTCACTTGTGTTTTCCATCTGTTAAATGGCAAATTACCTCAATCCATATTATTGTTATCATTACTCTTGATTTCTTTCATAAATTGAAATAAAAATACATTTTATATTCCAGGTTAAATTGCCTAAAAAGCGAAGGACACGGTGGGAAGAAGATTATGGGCTTGTTGATTATGAGGGACTCTTCGAGGAATATCTTGAAATGGGTAATGTTTAGTACAGTGAAAGTAATGAAATATCATATCATTTAAAATTAATTTTATAATTTTTATTTTAAAGTTTTGCAATTTGGCTTTATAACAATATTTGTTGCTGCATTTCCTCTTGCTCCTCTGTTCGCTCTCCTTAATAATTGGGTTGAGATAAGGCTAGATGCGCAAAAGTTTGTCTGTGAAACACGCAGGATTGTTGCAGAGAGGGCAGAAAACATTGGAATATGGTTCAAAATCCTTAATATGCTCGCTCATCTTGCTGTTATAAGCAATGTATGTGCCAAGATTTTTTATAAACATTAGATTTTATTTTATATATCCTTAACTTAAAAAAGATTTTTTTATTAGGGTTTTTTAATTGCATTTACGTCAGAATTTCTACCCAAGCTGTTATATCAATATGAATATAATTGGAACTTAGAAGGATACATAAATTTTACATTGGCCTATTCTCCGAATGGAACTCTTAGAGAACAGTGTCGTTATAGAGGACTGCGGGATGAACATGGAAACCATACACCATTTTTCTGGAGACTTCTAGCAATACAATTTGCTTTTGTGATAATATTTGAGGTAATTATAACATACAAATATTTGTTTCAAAGAAAAAAAATATATATATTTCATCAAATTTGAATTGAAATGGTTTTGATATAAGAAAATTTAGTGCCATTTTTTACATATAAAATTTATTTTACTACTCTTTTTTAGCATGTAGTTTTTGGAGTTTGTCGCCTTATCGACATATTAGTCCCAGATATACCAGAAAGTTTAGAACTAAAAATTAAAAGAGAAAGATATCTTGCCAAACAAGCTTTGCAAGACTCTGACACCATTATGAAGGTATATCATTATTTAGTTAACTAAGTAATTCTAAGCATTTGTGTAAACAGGATGTCCCATAAATAAAAATATTTGAAGAGGTCATTGCAGACCTCAATATCAGTAAAAAAAATCCTTGTGGACTATGTTCCAATTTCACATAGAAATACAAGAAAAAACTTTTGCGTTGCTTTTTTTTCAAGTTAGTTACATTTATTGTTTGATAGGAAATGATGTACACAAAACAATTCAGTAATTACCAACTCGATGGGCATAATAATTCTGCAATTGATCATCTTCAAATCCCTACCCAAATCTACCCGACCTACTAAAGCATTGTAAACTATAAAAATTTTACCACACAATCAGTGGCGACTAGCAGCTTCTGAAACAGACTTCAACTTAATTAGTATGGACTTTTTTTTTTTTAAGTTTTTCTAAAAGTGAGGAAACTGAAGCCACCAGAAAAAATCTGAATAATTTATGATTTGATGAAAAACAGAATATCTCACAATTTAGGCTCTTGGAAGGCCCCTTAAAATGGCTTCAACGAAGACTTTCTCCTTATATGTGAAGAAAATTTTGTTAAGTTTACAATGCTGAAATTAGGACTGATTTAAATTAAACTTTTTTAGTTATTGCTTTCTATTCATCAAAAAACATTTTTAAAAAATCGGACCATGGTCTATATGAACTTTATTGTTGGTGTGGAGGTCTGCCATCACATTTTTAAATATTACTTATTATTGATGGAATAACCTATAAATGTATATATTTATCATAGATAAAATATTAGCTATTTTCAATTTGGTTATTCTCTACTTTGGGTAATAGTTAGCATCATTGACTTTATAAGGATAATATAGTTTCAATTTCCCACAATCCTAAGTTTTTATGAAGTAATTATTCTGAAAAACCAAACAAACAACTTACATCAGATGTTGGAGTCAATCAGATTGATTATTAATAATATTATGATGAGATGTAAATATGAATGTTATTTTTAAATAGCATCACTGAAACAAATTAAGTTTTTTGTCAGCAGGACAATCTGTAAGTGATCCGAGATACATCATACTACTTATGGAAATACATTTATACTTCAGCAGTTAATCTATAGTTACATTCATATATATATTTATTTCAATTTTACAAAAATGAAGAGTAATGAAAAATAGACAATATTTAGCAAAACATTTTACCAACTTATTTCAAAAGTTTCACCATATGATTAAAAAACTATTCAGTTCTTTTCTCTTGTTTTTTTTACTATGATAATAATCGTTAGTTGATAATCTTCAGCTGATAATCTAAGATAATACTGACTAAATAATTCAAATATCATATTATTAATATTTAATTAATTATAAACTCATACTTTTGATTATTATTTTGTTCTATTTATTTTATTTTTTTGTACATATAGTGTGAATGTCATCCTACCTCACTATGACCAATGTCCAAGAGACAGATTATTATTATACTCAATAAAGAAATAAAATAATAATTATGGACTTAATAATCAATTGTACAATAGGTGGCTGCAGGGGTGGATGACTTTGGAGAACGGTCTCGAAGGATGGTTCTGGACCTTACAGCAGAAATAAGCAATGAACTTCATCCGCCAGATCCTCTTCCCCCAAAACGATCTCTTACCTCTTGCAGCATGAATCAGCATACAAGGGACAGGCCCAACACCTCCTGACATTCAACCCTTTGAGGCTCTACTGATGTACATATTTTTTCTCCATATTTTAAATAATTTTTATCATGTAATTTATAACTTGTTTAAAAATCAAACTTTTAGTGTTCACTTATGTCACTATGTTCCAAATTATTAATTTTACCAGAATGCTTGTTAAATGAATGTACCTCAGTAGTATTTGGAAATAATTTTGTTTTTACTTTCACTTATCTGTACATGTAATATGTATGAAGAGAAAGTTTTGTGATCGTGAAAATTTTCGAGTCTGAGTTATCAAATGGAAATACACGTTTTGAGGTCCCCTGAGTCTTAAGAACCAATCCTTCAAAATGGACTGTGTGAGTGATCAGCCTAGCTCAAAAACGAAAAGTCATATGAAACTTGTTTTATGTATTTAAGATAGGTATATGCTTGGTATGTTACAGTAACTTTTTCCTGAAAGTCAGCCGACTGGAAGTGCCCCTTCATCTCATCGATATTACACATTTTTACAATTTTCTCACAAGTGGCTCTAACGTTTAAACTCGTTATATGAATGTACAATAAAATGGTCAATATCATGTAAGTGTTATCCCCATTGATGTCGCTTAAGAAGACTTAAATGCTGAATCTTTAAAATTTCTTCCTCTAATTTGGTTCATTTCAAATAATTAACTGCCCATCGTTGTTAGTAGTAATAAAAAAAAGGTTTAATATAAACAATGAAAGAATTTGATAATTGTCTAAAGGAGAAAAAAGGAAAAATGGTTATTTTTGATAGAAAATGAATTTCTGGAAATCATAGTCAGATGGTATACATATATCATTGGAAAGGTGAGTTTTATAGAAAATAATATCTAATATACAATTTCATAGGAGGTATCGAAAAGTGGCGAAAAAATTATAAATATAATTTCTGAAAACTAATATTATTTAACAAAACCACATGTTTCCAAGGAAATTAAATGAAATTTCCAAACTAAATGTAAACTTTTAAATTATTTTTAATGAAAAAAAAAACACATAAAATCCTCAGAATCAACACAATTACATTGTTTAAAAACTATTTCACTGTACATGTATGAAAGAAAAAGTGAAATATAAAAATATTTCACAGATCTGTAAAACATATCTTTATAACCTCAAATACATTTACTGAAGTTTAATAACTTCAGGTTTGATAACATATAGTTAAATAATTTGATAAATAAATAGATCTATTATCGGTTAATTTAGAAAAAACATCATGTAACATTTGAAACAATTAAATTAGGGAATAATTTGATTTATTTTTCCTCTATGAAATCTCAACATTATCCACTTACAATTATTACTGTGACAACTTTTGACCTATCCATGGTTGGAAATGAAAATCTTATAACTCAATTATAGTAAACTTCACTATGTGAAAAAATAATTTAATAACTTTAAGTAGTACAATTCATAATCATTTATAGGTTAAATACACAGATGTTATTTCAAATCTATGTAGGCATATATATGTACATAAATAGCTCAGAGACTGGAGTTATGTGGTTTAAAAAAAGAGATAAAGTTAAGAGGTTTTTAATGCCTATATCACAGGCGGATCTACGGAGGAGAATGACTTGGCTAAAGCCTTCCGCTAAACATTACCTCTAAAAGTATTATTGTTTGTGTAGTTAAATTTAATAGGACTTTAAAAAATACTTAAATACCATTTCATATAGAGAATCTTTCTTTTATTTCATATAGAATTTCTTTCTTTTCCCCCAAAGTAATTATTATTATTATTATTATATATATATATATATATATATATATATATATATATATATATATATATATACATAATTTAGGCTGAAACCCCCCAAAATTCAATCATGGATTCGCTAGTGCCTATCCTCAATATAATAAATAGGATTTGGGTTATTTTAATGGTCTTAATGAGTTTCCACTCCTCCGGCCTCCCGAGTCCAGTACACTGCGCAAAACCCACATGACAGTACACAATTCACTCACACTGACACAAGGTCACTAACAGAACACACCATAGGATCACCTTCCCTAGGAAGCCGCCCCTAAACATTTTAAAGACATATTCAATAGACATAGCGGCCATCCAAGAGATCAGGTGGACTGGATAAGGCAGCTTTAAGAAAGGCCAGCACACCATTTATTACAGTTGTCATGACCGATTTCACTCGTTTGGGACTGGATTCATTGTGGGAAGAAGAGTGACCCAGCAAGTTATAGATTTCAAGCCTATCAGCCCCAGACTCTGTTTCTTGCGAATCAAGGGAAAGTTTCACAATGTCAGCATCATCTGTGTACACGCGCCTACAGAATCTCTGAAGATGAAATGAAAGACAAATTCTATGAGGAACTGGAGAAGTGCTTTGATGACTGCCCTGCTCATGATATGAAAATAGTGATTGGAGACTACAATGCTCAAATTGGAAAAGAGAAAGCTTTTAGGCCTACTATAGGAAGAAATAGCCTTCATGAGAACTCTAACAACAATGGAAAAAGAGTGGTGAACTTCGCAGCCTCTAAGGGTTTGGTTGTGGGAAGTACCTATTTCCCGCACAAGTTAGTGCATCTAGAAACATGGAGGAAATTCGGACGGAACGGATCCACTACAAGCTCTCAGATTGACCATGTTCTCATCAGCGCCAGATATAAATCCTCATTACTTGATGTTCGTACAAAACGAGGGGCTAACATTGACTCGGACCACTACCTTATAATTGCAAAAATAAGGTATCGGATATCAACAGTGAAGTACCAGCCTCCACGGTCTCTGAAGAGGTACAATATTGATAAGTTTAAGGACAGTGATACAAGCATTAGATTCTCATACCAACTGGACATCAGATTAAGGAACTCTGTCCCAGAATCAAATCTTGAGTCACAATGGAACTCATGCCGCACTGCACTTATGGAAGTAGCGAACGAGGTGTAGGGGATAAGACCAAACAGATATATAACCCGTGGTTCGATGACGAATGTGGTGCAGTGACCAAGAGAAAAACCATTGCATACAATAAAATGATGCAAAGGAAGCACACACGAAGCTCTGTCGAGGAATACAGAGCAACGAGAAGGCGCGAGAGGCATGTCCATAGGAGGAAGAAAAGGACGATGGGAGAATAAGAATCTACAGGAGATAGAAGAGGCCTTCATCTCCAAAAATACTAAAGAATTCTTCCAGGTTGTTAATAAAGGAAGAAAGCCCTTCATCGCCCGTACCACAGGATGCAGAGCAAACGATGGTTCTTTGGTAACTGATAAACAAGGCATTTTGGACAGATGGGCTGAATACTTTTCAACTCTTCTTAACAGAAATGGCACAAATCTCTCAGAGGCAAATGATCTTATTACAGGTGGTGAAGACGTAGAACCCCCAGACGAGGAAGAAATCAATGAAGCCATAGAAGGACTAAAAAGCAATAGAGCCCCAGACATTGATAACATCCCCGCAGAGTTCTATAAACATGGTAGTCAAGAGCTCATAAAACTCCTCCAGGAAATGTTTCATGCCGTTTGGGTTGATGAAGAGCTTCCAAGTGATTGGAAAAAATCCATTATATGCCCAGTGTACAAAAAAGGGGTCTATCAATGTAATAATTACAGGAGCATATGCCTTCTACCCACCGCATATAAAATTTTTTCAAGGATCCTTTATAGAAGAATAATTTCCTATGCTGAGGCTGAAATCGGAAAATACCAGGCTGGATTCATTAAGGGTAAATCAGCCATCGACCAAATATTCACCTTGCGAATCCTTCTGGAGAAAACCAAAGAATATCAAATTGGTACACATCACATCTTCATTGATTTCAAGCAAGCATATGATTCCATAAATCGTGAGGAAGCATACAAAGCAATGGTAGAAATGAATATACCTAAAAAACTTGTAAGGCTTGTTAGAATGACAATGGAGGGTAATGAGTGTTTTGTACGAGTACAAGGTGACTTGTCAAAGAGGTTTAGAACATCGACAGGTGTAAGGCAGGGAGACGCTCTGGCATGTCTGGTATTCAACTTTACCCTTGAAAAAATAATAAGGGATTCTGGTATCCAGACTACAGGAACCCTCCTAAATCGAATGACCCAAATACTTGGATATGCGGACGACATTGATATAATGGGAAGATCGTTTCCCGCAGTACAGGAAGCTTTTACAAATCTGGAAGAGTCGGCAGCCAAAATCGGTCTTATTATCAACACGTCCAAAACAAAATATATGTCCACCCTATCCTCACGTCTAACGAGGGAAAACCAAGCATGGCTGGAACAGCGTGGAATCGAGAATGTTGACGAATTTGTATATCTTGGTTCATTGATAAATGCACGAAATAACATTGATTGTGAGATAGACAGGAGGATCGCAGTGGCTAATCGGTGCTATTTCTCCCTCCAGAGACATCTTCGCAGTAGAATGTTGTCAAGACAGGCCGAAATAAGAATATATAAAACTCTTATTAGACCAGTGCTCACATATGACTGTGAGAGCTGGACCTTAACAAAAGCAGTTGAGAAATCCTTACTCAGATTTGAAAGGAGGATTATACGACTCATATTTGGAGGGGTCCAGGAAACACCACAGAATTGGAGGAGGAGAACGAATTTGGAAATAAAGACATTATTTAATGACCTGGATGTGAGCCAATTCGTCGTACTGGCAAGACTACGCTGGGCGGGACATGTCGCGCGGATGGATATGAATGCACCCCCAAAGAGAGCTATGAATGAGCCTGTGTTTGGAAACAGACGAATGGGAAGACCATGTTTGCGCTGGCAGGACTGTGTGGCTGCTGATGCATGTAGACTACTTGGTGTCAGAAATTAGAAGGCTGGACCGAGAGAACTGGAGATCGATGCTGGAGTAGGCCAAGTCTCAGATAATTGGGATGTAGTGCCATTTAATAATGAGTTTCCATACGTTAACTGCAAGGTTTAAATGTTATCCCCATTAAAAATGCACTTTTTAATAGGCCAAGATTGCCAGAAAATAATTTCTATTCAAAGTGGAGAGGTAAGTGAAAGTTTTGCATGTGCGCCACAAATGTTTTAGTAATTAGATGACTGAGTATCTATATGTTTCTCTTATTTTAATTATGATTGTTGAAAATAAAGATTTTGTGAAGATAAAAATGTTTAAAAAACTATGAAAATGATAGCTGAAACAAAAAAGAACTGAGTAAATGGTTCAAGAAATTATAATGTACTGCTTTCCAGCTATAAACATACAATGTAACTTGTTTTGAACACTATCAAATATTTTGAAAATTCATGAAAATCTACCTGTTTCTTCCCTTCTATGTTCCAACGATTGCTGTTTGCTTTATTTGGCTACTGCTAAATGAATTTTGATTTATTAAAATTATTTATACGTCATTTTTCCCTTATATTTTATATTCATTTCATTTCATTTGTATATTTGCTACATTTTGGCCGTTATGAAACCCTCAGGGATTTCAAAAAAGAGACGGTACACAACCAACTATTACATATTCATGATTAACCAACACACTGATAAAAATTACTTAAACACATTACTAATTAAATGATTATTCATTATTGGACTATACCAATTATATTAGTTTATAATAATTGTATAATACTTTATTTTATTTAATAATATGCATTTGTAAATTTAATGCACTTTCACATCTTTATATCGCACTAATTATTGAAAAATCATAATGATTACTTACAGTCTAAATAAGTTTGATATATTTTTTTACCTTTAACTTAAGACTTAAGTTTATTTTTTATAATACTATTTGAAAATTTCAGGGTTGTGTTGTCAGAAATAGTAAGAATGTAAACTAATCAATCAACAGCATTATGTGTCTAAAAATATTAAAGTGTGTGTGAAGTAGACAAATTATAAAGAGATTTTAATTGGTGGTGAAGCAAACCCAAAATATTTAAGTAGAAATAATAAGAAAAATGACAATTTTTTTTTTTATTTTGACCTGTGGGCAACATTTCGGAAGAGAAATAAAACGTAATAAAGAAATATCACAAACGTAAATTAATCAATTCTTTTTGTCCAAAAATGATTTTACTTTAATATTGCACTTTTTATAAAAAACTGATCTATCACAACGTATTGGTATACTAACTAATATATAAAGTTTCAACTGTTTTAATTAATATTGACCACATAAGGTTGACATATCATAGAAATTAAGATTTAATTCCGGAGTAGTAACAGATCTAACAATCACCAAAATTAAGATTGTGAGAAATATGTGTTTGACTACTTGTATGTCAACATGGGATCACTGATTTGTTCCCCTAAAATCCTAACTCTCTAAAAGGATGTTTGATTGTTGAACTTTATTTTTTCAACTGTAAGTGTTGTCAGTTGACATATATATATATATACACACAGTAGAGTAGCTCACAGTCAAAATGATACACTTGGATATATATAGAAATTATTGAATAAATAAATAGTTCAATTTATATTAAAGTGAAAACAATTTTAATCAATAAAAATCCTAGTAATATGTTCTTTTCTTATTTTATTTTTATTTTTCTTATGTTATGTTACATTTTATAGTCTTCTCTTATGTTATGTTTCTTAGTGAGGGTGTATGATGGCTACTGGTTTAGAAAATCTTCACTTTATAACGGAAACATTCACATAGTATGATAAATAAATTTTCAATTTATATTTACATAGACATTTTGAGAAGTAGCTTGGAAGAAATTGCACAAAATCTGGAGCTAAAAAACAAATTAAGTAACTTAATTAATAAATTAAGAGCAAGAGAATTAAAATAAACTAACTCTGCCATGTTAGTTAAGGAATAGCTTCTTTATAATTGCCCCAAAGTAATAAAAACACCATCACAGTCACCAGATCTTAATATGATAGAACACCTGTGGGCGAAATTAGAAAACATGTAATTTCTAGAAAAGAAGATAAAAAAAAATATCTCTTTGAATAGTTGATGCTAACCCTAGAATTCATAAAAAAATGTGTCAACTCCATTACAAACAGACTGAAATAAGTGGTAGAAAATAATGGCTTGCCTACAAGGTATTGAACTAAATTAATAGTATTTAAAAGTTAATAAGAATTAAGATGTATCATTTTGACTGTGAGGTAAAATTATAGTATTTTTTTATTAAAATTCTTAAATAATCACAGATGAATATTTTAATTTTATTGAGTTTATACATATTCAAATTGTGATTATATATATATAAACCTGTTGAAGAGTTTCTGGTTTTATTTGTTTACTGTAATTATTTAAGTATTTTTTATATTTTTCTGTGGAATATATCAATTTCACTGTGAGCCACAGTATATACATATACACTAAAAAAATCAATTATTGTATAGATGATGTATACATGTATAGAAAACAGTTTGAATGATATTGTAAAAAATAGTTAACTCTTAAAATGATCAAACAGAAAATACCTTCTATTATAGGATTTTTTTTCAGTAATAGATTCATTTTATTTTTCATATAAATTGCAGGTGTTATTCATTTAATTACATTAATTTGTCATATATTCAAAATGTGTTTGAGATAGGCATGGATAATCCAAATTTAACATGGAAGTAACAATGTGGCTTTGCTACTATATGTATATATATATTAAATTATATATTATATGTATGTCTACAGAAAGCAGCTAAAACAATATTTTCCTCTATGGGAATGCTTATCTTATTTTATATTTATTGTATATATTTGTACATAGTAGGCCTAGATAACATTTTTAACATTAATTTATTTTTATTTTTTATAAGGCTTATATTTTTAATTGTAAATTGATATATGGCTACAAATTAAGTATCTAAAAAATGGCAAATAAATATCTACTGTAAAAATAACTGATAAAATTTTCTACTTATAGATATAAATATTGACTTTTGGAATAATTTCTTTGTAATTAACTGTTGTATTTTAACAGGAAAAGTATATATAATGTTGATTACGTCTGATAAGCTTGTTGAATTTGAATATTGATGTTTAATTTTTTATACTAAACATTTTCTGAGAGAACTTGTAATTGTACAAATAAAGACAAGTTATAAAAAATTGGCCAATGAAATAGTTTTTCTTCCTTCAGGAAAATTCAACAATTAGGAATTCAAGTAGTGATCAATAAGTTAAAAATAATAATTAAATATGACTTATAATTATTTGTCTATATTTGAGAATAATAGTTTTAAAAATCTTATACACGTTTTTTATTGTCTTTAACTATTTTCCCAATTATTAACCATTCAGCTACTAATGTGAGCCTTCCTAATACCACTTGCACTTTTTGCACATAAAATGTTGGCGTGACTTCTTCAATTACATTTTTCGAATCAAGAATCGAAATGTTTCTACTTCTAGACATATTTGCTTTTCTTAAAATTTTAGAAGTAACATGAATGTTTCCTTCCTCTGAATTTATTGGTTTTGTTAAAGTGGGTAACTTTTTAGGATAAAAACAAATTTTAATTGCTGCTTTTTTGAATGGTAGGATATGAATAAGTTGAGGCTCTACAGTAATTGGACTTGTTTGATCACTTTCAAAAAAATTGTCCTTTATATCTCTTATTATATTTGGATCAAGGTAAGATTCTTTGCTTATATTTTTGGCCGGTGAATAGCGATTAAGGAATTGTTTAAATACATCTGAACTGAGAGTTTCCATTTGAAAACATTTCATTATTTCAAATTGTAAATCGACTTCGCACTTATTTGTTATCTGAAAAAAACAAAACAAATGTTTATACCTATTTATCTATAAATTATAAGTTATTATAGAAATAACTTTTTCTAGTTAGTTTTCATCCTATCCTATCTGTACACATTTTGTTGCCTGATAATTTTACTAGTAGGCCCATTGATGGATATTATCGATAGAATTAATAATAATAAATTTATTTATTGAGCAATTTTACAAATGCCTTTTGGCATATTTTGTAAATGTGATGTTCGTTAGCGAACCTCCTCTCCGGGATTAGCGTGAATACCTGATTGGAGAAGCCTCCCAGTGAAGGCACTCCTAACTGACTCTTAGTGCAGCAGATCTCTGCTCCAGAGGCGCTTGAGTCTCCTTGGTGGATTCTGTGGTCGTGTGTCTGTTAGTACAAGTGGATTAGGATGTCCAGCTAAGGAGTCATGGAAATTTTTGTAATATTTTTTAATTACATCAGTCACTTGTGGTATTTGTAGGTCTTTATGAACTGATTTATTGGTTATGTAGATGGGACAATGAGTGATATACCGGAGAAATTTAGATTGGAAAATTTGAATAGTCTGTAAGTGTGTTTTTTTTTGCATGAACCCCACACCTAAGAGGCATACGTCCATATTGGTCTGAGTAGCATGTTGTATATAGTAAATTTGTCAGAAAGCGATAGTTTGTTTTTATGGTGTAGCATTCGTCTTAGTAGTGATAATCGATGGTTCAATCTCTTTTTTAATGTCGACACGTGTGATTTCCAGGTCAGTCGTCTGTCCATTGTGAGTCCTAGATATTTTGTCTCAGAATGATTTGGCAAAGGGGTGTTGTAAAGTGTCAGTGGAGGGCAATCCGAACGTTTAAGTGTAAATGTAACCTGGTTTGATTTTTGAATGTTAATTTTTATGCGCCATTTATCAAGCCAGTCTTGTAGAAGATTTAAATGAATCTGTGCTTTCTGAGATGCTGTGATCGGATTAGAGTCAGTCGAGAGTATGACAGTGTCATCTGCGTAAGTTGCGAGTAATGTGTCTGGTGTCTGTGGAATATCAGAAGAGTAAATAGAGTACAGAAACGGACCAGTATTCTGCCCTGCGGTACTCCCGCGCCTATTCGGCAATAGTCGGAGTATTTCCCATCCTGGCTAACAATAAAAAATCTATCCTCAAGATACGATCTGATGATTAAATAGTATGTATGCGGAAAGATTGGTTTAATTTTACAAAGTAGACCATCATGCCACACTTTATCAAAGGCCTGTGAGATGTCTAAGAAAGCTGTTGTGCAAAATTCCTTCTTTTCCAATGCCACTGCAATTCTATCAATCACTCTATGACATTGTTATATGGTAGAGTGTGCAGGTCTAAATCCAAATTGGTGATTAGGAATAACATTGTTTGCTTCTAAAAATGGATAGATCCGTTTTAATCATAATTTTTCAAATATTTTGGAAAATAAGGATAAAATACTGATAGGTCTATTGGACGTGACTTGGTCTAAAAGTTTACTTGGTTTCGGTATCATTTTTATGATTGAAAATTTCCATACTAGAGGAAAATAAGTAAGTCGAAGGATAAAATTGTAAATAGCTGTCAGGAAGATTAATGCTTTTTTGGAAAGAAGTCGTACAATTTTAGGTGTGATTAGGTCAAAACCAGAAGATTTTCTGCGAGGTAATTTTTTAATTAAAAATTCTATGTCCGAAGGAGTTATCGGGGGAGGAGGTAGAGAAAGGGGAAGAGGAGAAATTAGGATTTGTTGGACGTCTGAGCAGTGCTGTTGGTCAGGCAACTCTTCATGTGGATGAAATACGTCTGTAAGATGAGTAGCAAATAAGTCTGCTTTCTCTTTATCGCTTCTAGCCCATGAGTTGTCTGGTTTACGGAGAGGAGTCTTTGTTTGGTGGTACCCTAGTATCTTTCGGGTTTGTTGCCAGAGAGTATTGTTACTTGTCTGTAAGGTGGTCAGATGTTTTTTGTAAGTTTCCTGTTTGTATTGTTGTATAAGTTTTCTAAGTTTGTTAGAAAGTGCGTTTAGTATCTGTTTGTCACTGGGATAGCGAGATCTTTTCCATTGGTTGAGAGCACGTCGTTTTTCAATTAGAAGTGATCGTATTTCCGGGGGTAAGTACTGTTTGTCGCGGTTGGTCTCGTACTTGTGTGCTGATTGCCAAGCGGCAGTTTGTACAGTCTTAGTAAGCGTCTCTACTGCATTGTCAATATCATTTTCCGTCTTTAATCTTGTGTTTAGATCAATAGTCTTATTAATAATGGAATGAAATTTATCAATTAATATTGGCCCAGGAGTTAGTGTAGGTGTGTGGTTGGTAGTAAACATGTGTCTAGAGAGAGATAAAATAACCGCTGAATGATGATAAGTCTGTTGATAAGTTGTTACTAATAGAGATATGATGGTGCAGTGTGTGCAGGCTAGAAGTTATAAAGAAATCAAGTAATTCTGGTTGACGGTTTATGTCTGTCGGCCAGTACGTCGGTTCAGGTGGTAGTATGCAGTTATAGTCTAGTTCTATACATGTATTAAAAAGAGAGTTTCCTCTAGAATTATTGGTCCTATTGCCGAAACGGGGATGCTTGGCGTTAAAATCTCCTCCACATAAAAATTTAGGTCCTAAGCTGCCAAGTATGTCTGTAAACGTTTCTTGTGAAACTCTTTGTCTCGGAGGACAATATGCACTGGCAATAGAAATTTTGGTGTGATCGATTTCAACCGAAATAGATGATAATTGAATTTCTGGTAAGGCAGTCATTTGAAGAGGATAGTGGTATAATGTTCGTTTTACGACTATTGCCGAGCCACCACCGGCAGTACCGCTGGGATAGTCAGCGCGGTACACTACATACCCTTGTATGTAAAATGTTGTAGTTTGAGTAAAATGAGTTTCTGTTAGTAACACAATGTCAATGTCATTTTCATGTAAATAAATGTCAAGTTCATTCCTTCGGTGTAGGGCTCCATTTGAATTCCAAAGAAAGGTTTTTAGAGAGTGTTGTGAGATAGAATTAGGGACTAACATGAGGAATAAATTTGGTAATTAGCGTGGTGAGAAGAGTGATGAGCGGATTTATCATAGATTTAAAATCATTTAAGAAGGAATTAAAATATAATGAGAGATCTGGAGTATTAGGTTGTGTATTAGATGTTGTGTGATGAGGTCTTTAGTATGAGGTTGACGTGTATTGATGCGGTATGTATTGAGATTGGGTATAATGAGGTACTGAACGGTCAGGGATTATCCTCGTTTGGTTTATTGAGTGATGAGAAGTTATACTTGTAGTATGAGAAGTAGTGTATTGAGGAGATATATTTGAAGTTCGAGGATCTGTAATTTGAGGAGTCGTATGATGAGGAATGGTATTGTGAGGAGATATATTTGAAGTTTGGGAATTTGTAATTTGAGGAGCTATATGATGAGGAATGATATTGTGAGGGATTACATAACGAGGAGATTCATTTGAAGTTTTGGTATTTGTAATTTGAGTTGTATGATGAGGAGCAATATTGTGAGAGATTGCTTAGTGAGGAGTTATACTTGTCGTTTGAGCAGTTGTGAATTGTGGTGTTGTGTTGTGATATGTAGTTTTAGTACACTTTGCCTGTGCGTAAGTCATGTTGTGTAGTTTTTGCGAGATAGGGACGGTGTAAGTAAGTCGGTCGTGTTCCGCCTCTGGAGGCAGGTGTTCTGTTACCTCTCTACTCGAAGTGGCCTGGCTCCACACATTGAGTCTTCTTTTCTGCAACTCTAAATGCACTACGCATCCCCTATAGTTCGCAGGATGATTGCCACTGCACAACGCACAAACAGGTGGCTCTTCAAGTGGTTTTTGGCAACTATCACTAGAGTGATCTTGACCGCACTTCACACATCGTGGTTTATGATGGCAAAATGTTCTGGTGTGCCCGTGTTCTTCGCATCTCATACATTGAACAATATTTCTTCTTTTGTAAGGTTCTTCAATCCTAACTCTTGTGTAAGCCAAATTAGTGATATTAAAAACTTCAGCATTGTTTGGAGCTGGCTCTAAGTCAACAAAGAAGAGTGGGAGTGGTTCTTTTGATCTCGGGTGTAACACATTAGTGATGAGGCGGATGTTGAATCCTTTTCTTTCAAGATCATATTTTATCATTTCGTGTGGTGTTGAATAATGGAGATTTCTAATAACAAACCTATATGGTTTTTCTTCTTGAGATTGATAAGTGTGAAAGTTGTAATTGTTGGTTTCTAAATATTTAATGCAGACTCTATAGGCTTCACTTGTTTTAATTTTTAATGTAACAATCGATTTGTTAGAAAAACATTCAAAATTATTTTCTCCTAAAAGGCTTACTAAATTCGTGCATAGAGTTTGGAAGTTTGTTATGCCTTTTATTTTAATTGGAGGTGGTTGGTGAACAACTGTTGTTTCGTCAGGTTCGTCTTCCATTTCGGTAGAAAGAGGTTCAAACCTATTACTGACCGGAACGTTAGGGATACTATTTATTGTTGATGGCGTATTTGTTGCATTTGAGCTCTGAACAACATTTTCTGGTACTCCAGTGTTGTTAGCATCATGTTCTAGTATAGATTCAATGATATGTGTCGTAGAGTTATTATTTTCAATAATTAAAGTATTCATTTCAGTATTCGTACAGTTATGGAGGTTATGTGAATTAACATATGTTTGCTTTTGGTTAGAATTTTTTTATGTTGTTTTTATCACAGAATTCTTTGAACTCGCTCTCTTTTTCTCATTTGTCCCGTCTTTCAATGAAATACTTGAATTGGATCTTACCTTTATCTTCAGCAGCTTTGACAAAACGGCCTGATCCGACAGTCCACTCGAGCCAGCTAACTGGCGTGCACTCATAAGTAAAGTGTCTGTTTTCACTTTAAAAACTATACAAACAGATTATGCCTTTAAAGAGAACACATTTTCACTATAAGACACATAAGGAATACAAGAATTCAATAATTTGTAAGAAGAAGAATTTTTTTAAGCAACCGCACTGTTCAATCGTTGAGTAATAAAATCTCGATAGAATTAGCGTTAAGTTTAAAAACTCACCTGTAAGCCAGTACCATCTTATTTGTAATGCCTATCTTCTTAATAACTTACTGTGATGACTTCTTCAACCTTGTTCCCATGAGAGGCTTCCATCTTACAAACACAGAATTGAGAGCTGATCGTATATCGAGGTATTGCGCCATAACCTGTAGGTACAGAAAGTAAAAAGGTTGAATAGTAAAATTATATAATAATCAAAATTATATAATCTTGAACATCCGCAACACTGTGAAGACCTATATTCGTAATTACCACTTTTTATTATATTGGAGGAGAAGTTGGTCGGGATTCAGTCAATTGACACATGCTGTATATTTATTTTAATTGCCAACGTTTCGAACTATGTTGTAGGTTTTCATCAAGCAATATCGGAATAAGCTTAGAAAATTATTTTTGTTATAGATAGTTTGCTTGTTGTATTAAGATATTTTCAAGTATATATAATAAGTAAACAAAAAGATAAATAAAAATCCTTACACCTATACAAACATATAAATTAATTTTAAATATTCAATATTATATTTTTTTGTTTCAGATTAATTATGTAGAGTTTTTACACATAATAACAGATTCTGCCATTTTTAATTTTGGTCTAGCGCCTATGACCATGATAATGCTACAGCGCATCGTTTCAAAGTTTACACAGAATATTTGGCCTTTTTAATGCTTTTTTTTTTTTAGCTGGTACCTTTTCCTCTTCCTGCAAATTCGCGCTTTTCTCACATGTGAAAAACAGGCTGAACGGAGGCATTTCACAAGCGATGAAGACCTTTCTGGGCTTGGGATACCAAGTGTGCCCAGGTCGTAGAAGAAACGTGGGGGGTTACTTTGAAGGCCGGTGAAATGTTACGTTTTTGGGGTGTTGCAATTTATTCAGGATGCCACTGCACAGGATTATTGATGATAATTATTCAGAATTATTTAATAAAAATTAATTAATAAAAGATTAGTTAAACAACTTTGGATCTATAATATATTGATTGGTCCAGGATTAATTAATTGGATTTCTTTTCTCAAAGGCTGCTTTGTGTTTATCATGCTTTCTAATTACCAACATTACCTGTGATCATCATGATATAAATAGGTGGCAGAATTGAAATAACTTTAACTAAAAAACTTAATTTATTCTTATGTTTAATTAAATGTATATATATATATATATATATATATATATATATATATATATATATATATATATATATATATAAATAAATTAAGTTTTTTTTAAAAGTTATTTTAATTATATATATATATATAGATAGATAGATAGATAGAAAGAAAAATTATTCTGGGACTAAGTCCCTTTAGAATAACAAAATTGAACAAAATAATAGAATACTGCTGGCCTAAAAGTTTGAAACAATAAATAAAATTGATAAAATAAACTAAAAAGTAAAGAAAATCTTATGTGAACAAGCTATATACAATAAAAATAAAACTATGTACAAAACTTTTAAAACTATGAACAAAACACTTCAAACTATGAACAAATCACTTAAAACTATAAAAAAAACTGTATATAATGGTTGAACAACATAAATATAGACTTTGAGAAATGAAGAACGAACAAGAGATAGAATAAGTTCATTTAAAAAATAAACTTTACTTGTGTCATTCAATCAAAATCATATATCAAAATCAAAATTAAATGGAAATCTTTATATACAAATACTATATACTGTAAATGAAATAAAAACATGATTTAATAATGACTTTGCAGGTATGATTTCAGATGGACTGTTTGAGAATTATTGCCATGAAATATTTAAACATTAGGATTGGAATTTACAACTTAGCTATTCTGGTATATGAAATGGAGTAAGTAGTAGATTTCATCTCTGCATCTGCTGATCCGAGGTCATCTGGTCAAGTCCAGGTTCGAAAACTTGCAGGAGGCCCATCTTCATGGTCTATGTAGGGGCCAAGGCTTCAGTCCCCAAGCCGGAAGAAAACATCTGACCTATCCTCAAGGACGGAAATCAACATAAGACCTCTTTTCTTACTTCTCGGGAGGTTTTATAGAAATATTCAGGGTGGGGGAAGGATGGTTTTCATTGGTTCTTTACTTCACCCTGTTACTTCACAATAACTAGTAACACCTTAAAAGGAACCAGTTATTTAGCTCGTTTATAGTTTTTACTCTAAACAACGGCTTTCCCAAGAGCCCCTTGTAGCCCTGGATTCACCTGCTCTCCACCCTTATGCTGTCCTTTGATGTTTTTGATGTCAGTGTATCCCAACTTTGTTTTCGACACTTAATAATTTTCAAAAACTTATTTGCTATGTTCAATACATAGCATTGGTTTAGGAGGATAAAAAAGTGTATTTTGTGGGGTGGAAACTATTTTGAAAAATTGTTGAAAATAAAGTTGAAATACAAAACTTTTCAAGTGCCCTTTGTACCGAAGCCCGAGGCAAAATCTTGGACCAGGAACGTTCGTATCGAGGGGGGAGGGAGAAATAGGTTTTTAAGGTTATGAATTTATATTCTTTGGATTACTCAATTTATTTACGATGTAGTGGTCGAGGGAGCTAAGACGGCTGCAACAATTTTAAGCTATAGGGTTAAATCTTCGCGGTATTTAAAAAAAAAAAAAAGATAAAAATTAATAATAAATTAAAATTAAAATAAATAAGAGCAGTCCCTACTCAATTTCTTAGAGCACTACTGCACGGGTTCGATTCCCTCGTGGGGACGGTAACGTCCCCACCCTGAGCTTCACAGGAAGGTGAGCGACTCCTGTGTCTTCCAACAATACAGCTGCTGATCCTTCAGATTTGTTACTTATCCCTTAAAAAACAGGATGGAGAAATCTGCAAAAGGGTTGTCAACCATCCTGATGAAGAAGGAGTGTTTAGTGATCGCGTCCGGTTATCTATACGATCTCCCTGGATATCTATACGAGTATAAGAGAACCAAACAATCACAACTGTCCTCTAGAACAGTCCAGTAACTGCTAGGACTAATGACGGATGATAATAAGTCAAAAAAAAAAATTACTATGGCAAAACTGAAAATAAAAGTATTTATTCTGAATTATATCATCCTACTAAATTAACTCAAATTTAAAATAACTTGATAATTTTAATCTAATCATTCAATATAATAAATAATCATTTCAATACTGGACAATTTTGGAAAGGGTCGTAATTTCTGATATTGGACTACTTCTTTTTCGATTATCATCTACCCTGCCATTTTCAGCATACGGGAGAGAGGAGCGGTGTTCTTGAGCTACAACCAAATCTTTTCTAATCAGAATGGGAGCGTCGAGATATCTAGTTAGAAGAAACCAACTTCATCCTAAATCACTTAAGTACTGATGGATCTATGGGGGCTTTCGGGATCAAGAATCCCCAAAATGGAAAAAAAAAATGTTTATTGCTCTAATTTTTTCTGCGAGTGAGCTAAATACCTATAAAATTTCAGTCGTACTTCTACATTTTATAGATACGATAATGAAAAGGAAATTGGAACAAACTTATATACAAACATACATATACAAATTTATATATAATCATGCTAACAACCTGAAACGTTTAAGGGAACAATTGTATTATTTGCTCTCAGCTCAAAATATTCTTCTGCCTATGAAAAAAACACACGTGTTAATGGATGAAGTATTATGCGAATAAAATATTATGCTTTTGTTTTTTTTATACTTAATATTGATTTCAACTTACGTAATTGTCCTCTTCTGGGCTGAATGTAAGGTCCAGTTTCAAAAATTGTTCAGGTTCCAAAGGTATGCCTTTATATTCTTTATAGCTCTAAGACAGGGAGTTATTAACAGAAATGTTAAAATAAATTACAATATTAACATTTTGGCATGATTATTGTTATATTTTTCGTTACCCATGGTGACGGTGGCAAGAACTGACAGGTAAATATGCCTAAGTGACTGAAATGACTCCTCGTAACGTTAACCATCTGATTGCTGATGTTATGAACCTCTATTGTTTCCACGCGTTTTGTACCGATCGCTGTCCTCGGAAATGTTATTTCTTTTTTTGAACCAGGCGTCGCGACGTATATATCAGGTCTCACGAATTTGAAATACAGATCACAAAAAAGTTCTTCAAAGCGGCTGAAAAATTAAACAAATTTCTAAGATATGTGTACCGGTAATAGACACTTTCAGAGAATTTCCTAACATTTATGTGAATCACAACTTAGGTTCTGAGTGTGGATCTTTGCAAATGGGTTTGATTGAAAGCAAATTTAGACTTTTGCCATTTCCTTTTTTCTATATAGTCAATTAGTCATTGATAGTCAATTATTCATGAAAACAATAGGAAATTCTGAACGCGTATTTTATAACAGTTATAGACATTTAGGTTTTGGGGATAAGCATATTTTTTTTTTATATAATTAATTATAAATAAACCAAAATAAGTTCTCCATATTTTTTAACAAGGAAATGGTAAACTACAGATGAACAAATAAAAAAAGCTATCTCTTAAAGAAAAGCTCCCTGAAACAAATATCAACTCCATTGAAAAATCAACCAATCAGCCATTGTTACAGAATAATATTTTTGAATTTAAAGCCGAAAATCAGACATGGTCTGCTGACCGTCAGAGGAGTCTGTGTTTTATAAAAAAATTATATTTCAATCTATTTATATACAACTAATTAATAAGAAAATAAGAACAATTATATTTACAAAGTAAAAGTTATATAAATATTTTAATTACAAAAAGAGTGGTACCAAAATTCTCCAATTTATTAATTGTTAAAATCTCTGGTGGGCATTATTCTATGGGAGAAAGCAAACTTGCAGTGATTTACCAATGCTATCCAATTGTTTCCATTTATCAAATCCACTACTTGATCCCGAGATAAATTTCTAGATTTTAACCATTTAATTCTAAATTCAGAGAGTATCGGACAAGCAGCCAGAAAGTGATGGAGACCTTCTGTTTCGTTTGTATTAAACATGCTGCAATTATTATTTGTTTGCTTGAAGTGTTTATAATTTAAGTTCAAAACATCAGCATTAATTTTTATAACCCATCTGATCACCTTCAATGAGCTTTTGTCATCAATATAATTTACTGAAGTTAAATGAGGATAAAAAGTGAAAGTTTTAGAGTTCTGAACTTTAATTACATATTGATTATATATATATATATATATCTCTGAATTTGAGTTCTTAGTAAATATAAATTAGCTCTCCATCACTAGCGGATCCAGGACAATTTAATTTTTTTTTTTGGGGGGGGGTTTATTCAGCCCGAAAGATTTTTTCTTCATATATATAACGATAATTAATTAGAAAAAAAAAGAAAGAAATTAACTACCTTTATGAAATGGTGTTTAAGTGGTTCTTGAAGTCCTACTAAATGTAATTACACGAACAACAATACTTTAAGAGATAGTTTTTAATATTTTTTTATGTAAAACATGGTTATATTTTGCCAATTTGGTGGGATTTTCAGTCTGAAATCCCCCTCCCCCCCCCCCCGTAGATTCGCCTGTGCTCTCCATAGTTTAACATCATCACAATTAGATCGATTTAAGTTGAAATTTAATCCATATAGTTCTATCAGATTAAGTAAGTCCCTGAACCATGCGATTTCTTATTTAATTATCTGTAGTGCTAAGATTTTTAGATATCTATGTGGGGGAAGATTCAAAATTTTTATACTGTAATCAAAATGGAGTTTAATTGTGAAGATAAATAACGGAGTACACAGACATTTCTACAAATATTCTTTAAATTTGAAGTATCAATATTTTATTTAAATCTTTATTTAGTAGAATTTTCTACTTTTTAATTTTAATCTTTCAATATTTCTTTATAGGTTTTTTATTAGTATCCTGGTTTCGTAACCTAGTATTAAAACCGGCTTAATCAGACCTATCTAAAACATTAATTCGTAATTTGAGATTTCTAGACATTTTTTGAGGGATTTAAAGCCCTTTGGAAGCGAGGGGAATATTTCACTGCTACACTGTGGCACTAAGACAAAACTCACATTTCTATAATGACTTAAAAATGTGTTCAAACATGTTGTTTGGGCTTTGAAATATATCTTAGTAAATTTTCAAACTATTCTAATGCTGTTTATCTTATCTTTAAAATATTATATTGTAGTAACATAATACAAATAAAATATAATATAATAATAATATATTATATTATAGGAGATTCTTAAAATATTATATAATTGGTACACTGTATTTAGAAGGTTCAAAAATAAAAATGAAAGATATCTGAATAACCAATCTGATTAAATAATTTATTTTGGAATTTAAATTTTTCATATTGATAAATTTTCAGAAATTCGACAATTAGAAACTTACATTGAATTTTATTGAAAAAGGCTTCGAAATTTGTGGTAAGGTATTAAGCAAATGTGATTCCCAAAAATTTCGTTCCTTCTCGACCCAGTTAAGAAGTTATTAATATTTAAATTTAATTATTCATGTGCTGGTAAAAAATATATAGTATTCGTTATTGTCTTTAATATATTGTGTTAATATAAAAATGTTTGATTCTTATTGAATATACATAATTGAAAAAAAAACGGAAACAAAAAAAAAGGGAAAAAACTCTTGCATCTTTTTTTGTTGAAATGATATATCTTCTTATAAAAACAGTTTCCTACTAAAAGGATAAATCTTTTAACAAAAACATTATTCTTTATTAAACTGAAATATCGTTTTATTAAATGGATATTAAGTGCTGTTTTTTCTTAATCTTATTAATAAAGACCTGATTCTATTAATCAACTTACAGTTTTTCTTTAATATATGATATGTGATAAAAATTGACTAATTGTCCATAAAGATAAGATAACTTTGTATTGAGTAGATAAGTATAGTATTTTCATCTATATTTATTTTTAAAAAGACTGTGGTTGCGAGGGAATTTCGTTCTAAGGTCGTAATTTTTTTGTTTATTTAGTTTTATATTAGGATAGGAACTGGAAAAAAAAAATCACGTTACTCCGATCATCGAAGAAACGTTTTTACCATTCGATTCAGTACGACAAATCGCACGGAGTAGGAATTCCATTAAAATTATTATAAGGGAATATATGGATAAAAAATCCAGGTTCAGAGAATCGAGCTTTTCACCCCACTGAGAGATGTTTCTATCGACCGTTCACTTTCAGAAATGATTTACTTTCTTTCCTTTTCTTTTTCTTTTATTTATAGAGCAATTTAACATTCTGTCACAATATGGACAGGTTTCCTTTCTCATCTGGAATTTTCGGCCTCGGCATTTATTTTAGAGTATTAAATTAAGACTCGACATTTAGCATCATTTGTGCACGCTTTCGTCAACCTCACCAACTTTCCGAGAACCTCCAGAATTTATTTCATGCTAACAATTAATTTATTAATTTGTCATTTAAAAAAAAAAATGGAATTTGAATAATCGACGAACTAACTAAACATGTTTAATGAGAAATGTTTCAGATAATATAATGGAAGAATTTGTGAAATATGTTGGCCCCGAGAAGGTGAAAGCTCTACAAGTACTCTGTCAAAAAGCCTGTTACGACAACAGAATCCCAACTGATTGGGAATACAATGTCATTATACTCATCCACAAGAAAAGGTCCCAGGCCGAACGATCTAAATATCGTCTTATATGCCTCTCACCAGTGGTCTACCTTATTAGGAAGAGCAACCTGGATTTAGACCAGGACGGCAAACTGAGGATAATATATTCTCCCTAAGAAATGTTCTGCAGAAATCTTGGGACCGGGATAAAAACATGTGCCTAGCTTTCCTTGACCTGAAAGCAGCATTCGACACGGTTCGCAGGCTTGAAATATGGGAGGCTCTTGGAGCAAAATACGTCCCAAGGAACTTAGTGGAGGCTGTGAAGTCCAAAGGGAGTTGTTAAGCTGAACGGGTTGGAGTCCGGTTGCTTTGACATGACAGGGGGAGTCCAACAAGGAGGTAGTTTGAGCCCACTACTATTTCTAATTTATTTGGAGGAGGTGGCGGCCATCTGTAACAAAAAGGACGTTCCTGGGGAGAATAAACCTGCGTCCGGTTGTGATGCAGCTTCTGCTATATGGCGATGATGTTATCCTTGTCGCTGATTTGGCTGAAAAGTTGCAGCAGGCGATGACTGAATGGTATGAGGAACTCTACCGGAAAGGAATGCAGATGCCAGCTAAAATAAGATACTACAAGTAGAAAGGCAAAATGAAGATACGCGTGTACACTGCAATGGAGAGCAATTAGAAGTGGTCTCAGACTTTACCTACCTAGGAACTGTCATAGAAAGATCTGAGAAAGTGGATTTAGAAATATTCAACAGAATAAGCAAAGCAAATGCAGTCTACTAAGAGATTTGCAATACCGTTGTAGCAAAGCGAGAGGTAGACAAGAAAGTCAAGCTCCATATATTTAAATCTGTGAAGAGTGGAGTTCGTGGCTGCTCACCCTCTTACGAAGAGAGGTACGAAAGGAATACGAAGCTAAAGAAGAAGAAGAAATGCTTCATAGGTTTACTTTCACTTGCCTATAAATATAATATATTGCGAAGTTAAGAGTAAGTATTGCGATCGTGAAAATTTTTTAATCTGAGTTTTCAACGGAAATACACGTTTTGTGATCCCCTGAGTCCAAATAACAAGTTCCGCAAAATGGTCTGTGTTTGTGTGTTAACAGTCTAGCTCAAAAAGGAAGTGAAATTGCATGTTTAAGATTTTTATAACCTAATTATATAATGCACTAAACACATTTTTACGATTATCTCGAAAACCGTTCTAACGATTTTTGTTAAATTAATCATATCAATGTAAAATCAAGCAGTTTTAATAAAATGTGGTTATTATCTATTGTTATCGGAATAAAAGCCGATAGTAACGGAAAATAGTTGTAATTGAGGAACCAAAGGAATACGAGCGCATCCAAGCTCGCCGGAAAGATTAGAACACGCTTCTGTAGATTAATATAATACGGACTCCGAAAATATTATATAAATATACATATGTGGTTTTCATAAATGTTATTGTTGGTATTATTTAATATTTAATTGTACAGGTATATAAATATTAAAATTTGTATATATGAGGGTACTTATACAAATAAAAATACCCACAATGATATATAAATAAATATAGATTCTATGATTTTTACTTCCATTTCACTTTGTCTGAAAGTACTTATTTCTGCTAAGAAGAGGGTGGTAAGTGAAAGTTGTGTGATGCGAACACCACACCAATTTATTTTAACTTACGGTTCTGGATATTCTGGATTTTTAACTGAAATCAAACATCTTATTCTTGTTTGACAATGAGAATTCTGCAGGTTTTTAATTCTGAGAAGTTTTGTTCTAGATATACGACTTTCTGCCCTTTTAGGCAGTTTTACATCGACTTTTGGTTTAGAAACTGCTTTAGCCTGAAAGAATTATTTACGAACTGAAATATTTAAAAGAAAATATTTAAAATTATATATATATATATATATATATATATATATATATATATATATATATATATATATATATATTTATGTTTCCCTAATAATATTTTTTTCTCTAGAGTAATCCTTTGGGAGGATACCTGCATTAATTTAATTGCCACAAAAAGAAAAAGTAGGCTTTTTAAATTATTTATTAAATTAAATTAATTAAATTTAAATAATTTAATCTATTAAATAAAGCTAAACCAAACTATTTATTTTATGTCTCTTGATACCGACAGCAAATGGAAAATGTCAACAAGAAACAAAAACACTAGTATAATGAAATAACCTTTTATATATTTGTCCAATTGTTTATGAAATATCTAAACGTACCTACTGACTTTTGTAAGGGTCTGCAAAAACGATTTTATCATAAATTCCCAAACAATATTTATGATAGATAAAAATTAATATAATACGAAATTAATTTACTTATATTATGAAGTACTATCCATATTATAATCTATATCATCCATTTAACGTTCTCTATAACGCTGAAGAATTTGATATAAGTATTTTGATAAATAAGTTTCTCCTTAATACTGAGCAGGTAACCAGTGAAGTTCATATTATGAGAACATCAGTTCTATTTTTTAACTTATAACTCAATTATATGTTCCTAGATCCTACCCATTGACAACAGATCACAATCTATAAATGTATATATACCCTCCCATAAAACCACTCCCTTCAGCAAATCCTTAGTCATTTGTGCTATCTCATTTTGGACTACATACCTCAAACCATGTCCACAAATTCCTTCAAACAACTCCAATTCCATCACCTACTACACATTCAAACTTCCTTAGGTTATGTAATTACAATTGTTCATCAACAGCTAATTGATAAGAGCCTTTTATTTTAATTGTTTTTATTAGTATTGTTCGTTTATATTTGTATTATGTCTCCATGTACTCATATATATTTTTTTAATTCTTCTATATAGTCCCAAAATAAAATTATTTTTCATTTCATCATTTATAAATCATCGATTTCCAAAAAACGAGCAGTGTAGAGTTTTCGTTGAATACAACTTTAATTTTACATGGGCTCGTTTATAGTTTTGTCCTGGCAATATTGATGTTTATTAACATTTTATTGATATTTTTCAATGAATAAATATGTTGAAGGTGTTTAATATGAGTTTAATAATCCAAACTATTAATCTTCGCAAACTGAATTTCACTATAAACAAATTTATAATTGTTATAAAGGAAGATAAATCCTTTTCTTTAATTAGTGCTTCAATATTACATAGTTGTTTAATTTTTTAAAGGAGTGATAGCAGATCTTAAGGACAATGGGCATATTTACAGCAGAAAAGTGGGAAATCCAAGTTTTGTGTTTTTTTAAATGTCATGTTTTTTGTTGAATATGAAGCTATAACTAAAGAAATCGTTAATATAAGAATATTTAATTGATATGAAACTAGAGTTTGTCATTAAAACCATTTAAAGAGGGCTATTGAGTAGATGATTTTTTTCATAGTATTTTTGGTACATATTTTTCAATAAGTAGATTTGTTTTATTTCTGTCAATTAATTCTATATCGTTGAAACCATGATTTCTTCTTATGGTTATATTTCGTTAATACAAACATTTGTATTCTTTGTTGGTTTGTTGAAAAATATGTTATTAGTTCAGATATGTTCAATTTATTATACTTATTATGAAATAAAAAATAATTTTATTTTGAGACTGAATTCCTCTTAGAATAATTGCAGAGTTTAAAGAATATTTACATTAGTCTGGCATGTAAGTATTATACAAATATATACAAAAAATAGCTTGGGAATTGTAACCACATATATATATATATATATATATGTACACACAAAAATACTAAGGAAAATACAAATATATAAAAAAATAAGAATACAAAGTAAAATATAAATATCTACAAAAAATACTAACGATAAACACAGATATATAAAATACTGAGATATAAAAAAAATCAATAAATAAAAATAATTATGTAACATACCGATGGATACTTACGATGGGTCTTGGTTTTCTTAATTTCCCTTCCTTAGAATTTACTGATAAATCTAATTCAGGTTTTAAGACGAGATGTATTTTAATTTTCTGCAAATAAAAAAATATTTTATGTTCCTCAATATTATATGAATATTGATATATTTTATTGTGCATTTCTCTTATATATTGTTACAACATGTTACATTATTCAATAAAAAAATATTATATATTGGAAGCAACCTCTTCCTGCACAATAAATATAAAATAAAATAATATATATATATATATATATATATATATATATATATATATATATATATATATAAGTGTGAGTGTATATTATAATATCTTGGCAGTTATGTTAGTGTTCTTATCTCGGATTGATTACAAATTATAAATACTTATTTTATTAACATCAATTTTCTAATAAGTATGTACATACAGAAAGAGGATATGATCCTGACCAATGGATGTCTGACTCTTCTACGAATAAGAACAATAACTTTATAAATAAAAATGTAGAGAATAAATAATTGATGTTGAAAAACTTTTCGACTTTTTTATAAAAAACGCGGTTTCTAAAGAAAGCAGGATAGTAGGATCAGAATTATTGATTAATTAGCAGACTTATTATCGACTCAATTTAAAAAAAAAAATTGTCATGGAATAGACGAATAAAGTTCATGAAGAATAAATAATTATAGGACTAAAGCAGTCATGTGCATAAAAAACATTAAATATCAGATACTCATCTAACGAGAAATCTCTAGAAAATTGTCTGTATAAAACGTAAATATTTTAAACTGTTATTATTGCAGTATTTTTTTATATTAATGTGAGTATAAAGTTTTCTCTGTGAATTTTTGTTGAGAAAGGAATCAGTAAAGATAAGATCGGATCCGGTGTAAATCGACTACATATCAAACCTTATATGTCAAAACTATACTCCGTGGTACAGACACGGACATCCGTCAAAACTTCGTGAACAGGTTCATCTCATTTTTATCTACAACTTTTTTATTAATTAAAGCAATTTCAATCTATATCGCCAAATTGTGTCTATTTAGTTAGTTACTAAAAACCCATCAATAACCATTTGTATCGAAAGATAATTCGATCACAAAATCGAGAATAAAGGTGGCCTAAAAAAATATTGCGCTGTTTGAAGTGATCCAAATCCCAACATGTCAAAATAACGAGCTATATAGGCCAAACGGCCCAATATTTTCATAGGCCACCTTTTTTTTTCTTCTTTTTTTTTTTTCAATTTTGGTGTTCGAATTATCTTACGATTGAAGTGGAAAGCAAAAGAGTATTTAGGAGTTTTTAGTACCTAATGATTATTAATTAATTTAACTATTAATTTAATTTCATTAATAATTCATAATTAATTACTCATTAAATAATTTAATGAGGAAAATATAGGTTTCTGAGAATTTTCGTAGTTAAAAAAAAAGTAGAAAAAAAATATATAAAAAAAAGGTACGTTACGATAGACGAAACCATTCTTAAAGTTATAGGTGGATGTTAATAATTTGATAAAAAGGGGATTATTACATATCAAATATTGAGAGAACACAATGCAAGCAATCTCGTGCTTCGACGACAGTATTAATCAGCATAGATTTTACCCTATGAGTACATTATCTAAAAAAATCAATGTTTTTGAGACGTTGCATTGTTGAAATGAGGCAGCGGTAATAGTATTGGATTTATTGGATATGTATATCAACAAATAATATAATTAACTGTAAGCAGACCATAATTCATTTATAAAGTAATATTGAACCATCGGGCTAGAGCTATATCAGATTACTTTATATAATTTGATCATTTACTTCATCATAATTCAGAGTCCCTGAAACGGGTTGAATGTCGAGTTCCTTTCCGAAATGCTGAAAAAATTGAAACGAGATTTTCACCTGTTTCGGATCATCGTGTAGACCAAGAAATCTTTTACAGTGGCAGCTAATTCCACTCACTTCATTTGGGTATCTGTAAAAACGCAACAGGTCCATTCATTATTTCTAAAGATATTTGTCCACAACACTTTTCTCAAACCTTTAGTGCAAGTTCATATGGGATTGGTTTAAGAGAGTTGATGGGAAAATAAGAAATCTTATTCAAGATGAGTGGTCAAATACAAACAGCTTTTTTAATTTGATGCAGTACTTGTGTTTACTATAAATATTGATCCAAATATTTCTCAATCTGATCAGTAGTTTAGTATTAGTGATTAGTATAAGTGATTAGTAAAAGTGATTAGTAGTAGTAGTTCATCGAGTACGTACTTTATTTTACGCTTTAATATTATATTGGAATCAACAATAAATTAATTAATTGTAAACTAAACACAAAAAAAAAAAACGAATGATCAATAACATCGCGTTATAGTCCGTGGTACAGACCTCGTTTTATCGAATTATTAACATCCGCCTGAAACTTCGTAAATAGTTTCATCTCATCGTAACCTACAACTATTTTATTTACGAAATGTCTTAGAATTGGGAAGTTTTCAATCTGGAATGGATAAAACTTTGTCTATTTTTAATTATGTACTAAAAACTCGTAAATACTCATTTGCTTTTTATTTGGGTCGTAAAATAATTTGATAACGAAATCGAAGGAAAATGTGGCTTTCAAATATGTTTGGCGTGACCTACACCCGCAAATTTTCAAAATAACGAGGTTATATAAGACAAACGGTTCAATATTTTTGAAGGCCATTTTTTCATTCGATTTTGTAATCAAATTATCTTACGACCCAAATAGAAAGCAAATGAGTATTTACGAGTTTTTAGTAACTAATTAAATAGATAAAGTTTGTCCCCCTCCAGATTGAAAACACCCCAATTCCAAGACTTTTCGTAAATAAAATAGTTGTAGGTTACGATGAGAAGAAACTATTTACGAAGTTTCAGATGAATGTTAATAATTTGATAAAAAGGGGTGTGTACCACGGACTATTATTGATAGTTCAAATTGCGGCAATGTCTAAATCGAATATAAACAAGAAGTCCTCAAAACACATCGGACTGAAATGAAAAGGATTCGAGATTCGGCGTTCTTAGTTAAATGAATTTCTTTTATAAGTATAGGAGTGCTTCAAACTTTCATCATTTTCAAAATATTCGGTTTCGCTTAATTTATGACTCTTTTATTGGGAGGTATTCACCACTTTTTGAGAATTAAAAAAAATATATAAGAATAATTGATTTTAACTATTCATAAAGTATAATAATAAAGCTACTAAAATAAATAAAGAAGGAGTTGGAAACTTTAGTCTTAAATACAAAAATAATCGTGGAGCGACTTCCTACCTCTATAACGAAGTTCAGCAAGGCGGAATGTTGAAACGTCGGCTTGAATAAAATATTTTTTTCACTAATTTAGTCAATTTATGAGCACCACCCCGGACCATCCCATTACTCGGTATTCTGCAAGGTTTTAGTTGGTTAGTAAATTGACCATGGCTGACTCCCTAAACGCAATTGGAAAGATAACATGATCAACAAAGGAATAAATCCTTCCGCGACCATCATTGTCTTCTAGAGTAGTCTTCCTCTTGTTTTTTTTTTAAAACATCGTTGACCGGTGCACTCACACACTGGCGAAGCTCCATATTCCATACATCCTTACAAAATAATAATCTCTAAAAAGTTTGCTAAATAGAGGTTAATATAAAGAAAATATTCAATCATGCTTTATTTTCTGGAAATAATTTACTACATTTTATATCTGAATGAAGGTGTTTCACTGGTGTATTTTATACGCATAGGGGAAAAAGTGCTGTCTATTATTTAGTGTAAAACCTCCGGTTTTTGGCACCCTTAAGGAAAATTGTGTTTGTTACGTTTTCAATCGCATGGGTATTTGGTTCAACAGTTTCGGTTCTGTCTTTACAGGCTTTCGTTTCAAAATATTTAACAGTGCCTTTTATTTATTTTTTAAATAGTAAAACGCAGAAATATAAACATACCCGTATGCTCCAGTTTTGGTATTATTTTTCCAGTTTTCGCCACGCTGACGTACCAGTTTTCGCCACCCTTCACCCAATTTTCAAATGCCTAAAGAATAAAATCTGGCATCCTTCAGAATGAAAAAGCTACAATAATATGTAGGAATGTGTGCTTCTTGCCAAAAACGTATGGCACGTCCTTCCTAGGCGACTCCTGTCAGCTTTCTAATCTTCAGAGATTTTTCATGACCAATGAAGATAATTAAATAGTGAGGAATGTTATAATATGCAAGCACATGAGGTCTTCCCGCTTCAAGTGAGCGCCTTTCGCCAAATCTGGACCATTCCCAAAGCATAATATTCTTTAGTTTAATAATCTGGGTAGAATGCAATGGGTTATATGAATTTAATATAACAAATGGGTTATACTAGTTTTATAAATTTTCAAAAGATTTAAATATAAAACATTTCTCACCTCAATCAATAAGTCAGTTAAGGGTTTCAAATCCCGAATTAATTAAGCTCTATACGAAAAACAAAAGTTTCTACTTCATAGTCCAGGAAAGTAGAACTGCACTTTCTGTAACCAATTCATTACTAACAGCCTGTTCCATATCCTTCTGTACTGTGAAAAGCTAACAGACAACAGACAAAAACATTTACGAGCATTTCTCTCTGCGCCAAGTGATGTAAACAAGATACAAGACATACTTCGAATCGATAGCATAGAGAAACTTAATAAAATTTACTGGTTCACAATGTCAGAGTGCAATTCACTGGATTCCTTAAGCTCTGATGTTCCACACACCAACCAAGTGCTATGACTAAGGATAATTGTTGGTCAGTTCAATTAATTGTTTGTTTCTTTTTTGGTTTTATTGATAATGTAGATAGAAATTAATTGGAATGTAATAAAGTATTATGGTTTAATTATTGTTTTTATAATAAGTCAATGTACAGTTAGGATAAACTAGATTCATGTAGGTGAAATGAAGTTATTCATATATGTATCATTTGTACAAGATTGTAAAATAATCTTTAACAAATAAATTCAATTCAATTCAATTCAATTCATTTCTCACCTCAAATGCATATGGTGAATGCTGAAGGACCCGTATGGTATATCTGGAAGTATAATTCTCTGAGCGGACAGCTCGCAAATAGGATCGCTGACTATGGCCATACAGCTCAGTGATATAAATGGTTGTACATCTTTTTCATGTAGCAGATCTGTGTTTTCTACGTCCAGATCTGTAGATTTTCTGGAATGTACGAATACAAGCAATGAGTGTAGAACTCATTTTGATAAATTACAGCTAAATTGATAAAAACAAATCGATTTTATATAATGTTTTTTCATTGGGAAGGAAGAAGAAGTAATACTTCATCCCCTCAACCTGTTCATTCTAGCTGCATCAGTTTGGTAATGATTGGTATGCCAAGAAATATAAGTTAACCCTTACATGACATATTCTAGTCAGGAAGTTACCATATACATTAAAATTGTCATTACGAGTTACAAAATGGGATATAACTAAATAAATTTATCAGAATCACAAATAATGATATTCAGGAGTGAAGGAAAATTAGAGAAATTGAAATTTAGTTGTAATTATATTGAGATTGTGAACAATTATAAACACTTGGACATAACATAGCATAACGCCTGGATTATCTATAGACACATACCTCAAATATAAATTATACACAATAAAGGCAAGAATAAATGTATCTTAGAAAACCACATTATATAAAAATCTCATTTTATGTTTTAACATATTAAAATTAGGGAGGAATATAATAATAATAAGTTGGATAAATATTTGACAAGTATTAAAGATAATATGGGCAAATTAGGAAAACAGAATGTAATTCAAAAAATTGAATAAATACTTTCAAAAGCATATATAGGAGAAACGTTCAAAGCACCGAAAAACAGAATTATACAACACAAAAACAATCGTAATTAAAAAAAAAAAATTATTTCACAATGGTATATTATTTCCAAACAATTATACATCTAAAGTAACATTACCTTCCGAGTTACAAAGAAAAAAAAACAAGAGGTGATTCCAATTATTGGACTAAAATGTTTTTCTTTAATCATTAGTAATATGCTAAAAAAATAGCATTACTTCAGTAACACATTTAAAATTTAATAGCCAAACCAAGGATATTACTTTTGGGGTAGAACACACAAAAAAAAAAAACCTCGGAGACCATATCTTTGCTCCTAATTGTCCGATTTTAATGATTCTTTTTTTATTTTTTTAGGAAATTTCGTAGACTTCTAAAAAAACAAATTTTGAGAGGGGGTTATGTTTTTGAATTTTTTGGTCGATCACAATGTTTCATTATTGAAAATAATAAACCAAAATATGTAAAAACCGTTATCTCTACTAATAGAGCTTTGATTTCGATGAAACTTCCTTCATTTTTTAGGAAATTCAAATAACTTTGAAAAATCTCACAATATCTACAAAAAAGTAAAAACTTTTCGAGTTATTCGGAATTTAATTTTACCATCCCTCGTAACTTTTTTTCCAGCTTCTTTTCGTTGAAGTATGTTATATAGATAAATTTAAAGGGCGTCGAGAAAATGACTTTAGCGAAGTTTCATTGAAATCTGTTCATTCGTTTAGGAGCTACATCCTATAGCAACGCAGGTTTTTCGGCCGCCATTTTGAAAATTAAAGACGGAGAGTAATGTCGATGAAGGAGGATCATCGTCGGGTGATTTTATGTCAAACTTTGAAAAAAATCGGTCCAGTAGTTTCGGAGAAAATGCGCGGACGGCGGACGGACAAAAAAATTTTTATTCGTTTTTCGAATTCTACTCGTCTTGAAACGTGAAACCTCAAATTTTGAGAGGAGTTTATGTTTTTAAATTTTTTGATCGATCACAATGTTTCATTATTGAAAATAATAAACCAAAATATTAATAAAACAGCTTCATCACATTAAAATACTTAAAATACTTCAGTCGCCTATCGAGCGGAAACCTGGTTTTTATCGCAAGAGGATTGCCGTAAGTTTAAAGTATTTGAAAGGGGAATAATATAATGATTTACGTTGCTACAAGTGTTAATGGTGAGTGAAAAATCAAAATTAACAATGAAATCGACGCTATATTAGAGAATGGAAACATTGCTAACTATACCAAGACAAGTAGACGGAGATGGGCTGGACATTCGGCCAGAATGAAGAATGAAGGCGTACAGAAGAAAACATTGGAAGCGCACTTCAGAAAAGAAAAAGACGAAGGCCGTGAGGGGGTTGACGGATGAAGTAGAGAGACGCGATGAAGTTGGGATCGGAGTCCGCATTTAGAAGTGAGGAGCACAAGACAGAGAGAAGTTGAGAAGAATGCAAGATGAATTAGTCAGTTTTAAATTAGGCAATTGTATAATAACCTAACTCATGAAATATGTTCTTACTCTTTAGCTATATCTGCTGGATAATACGCCAGTGACATTCTTTTTGCAACGTTGGTTGGTCCCAACGGGGAAATGACTTCTTTTTTCTCTAAAAATGATAGGGCATTGAGGTTTTCGTTAAGAAATGACATGGTTTCTAAGTTTACATGAGTCGGTTCCCCCAATTCTGCCATGTAGTCATCCGTTGACATTTTCAGCAATTCTTGAAGTGTATTCATTTGTTCGCTGTCAGATTTGGGTTGAACGGATTTGGCAGTTTTCATAACCTATAACATTAATAAATAGTGCACAGTTTAAGTTATGTTAAAATGTACAATTTATATTGTACAATAATGCCATTTTAAATCTGACCATTTACTTACCTATGTATGAATAATATAGTAAGGAAAAGAATTGCGAGAAAAATTTCTAATCTGAGTTTTAATACAAATATGCTTTAAGGTATCCTGAGGCCAAACAACCAAGCTCCACAAAATGGTGCAAGTATGTGTGTATGTATTTATATGCAGAGCCGTCGCGTGTGTTTTTGGCGTCCGGGACGACATTATATTAGGCACCCCTATCACATCCTTCGAACTCGTCCAGTTGGATATGGTCTCATGTTTACGGGTCATATTTATTGTACTGTAATACACTTGTACACTTCGGTTCATGACCGATGACTCTCTAGCCAGCTTTTTGTAATTGATCTAACAACAGCATTGAAGTTAGAAGTAATTATTCCGCTAGTTATAATGATCTAAGCAAACATTAAAAAAGAAATTAATTAAAAAGTAGAGAGCGGATATATATGAGACTTTTCGAAAGCATTAGGCACTTTTCTTTAAGTTTTTGTTCCTAATTCGTGACGGCCACTTCGTCGCGGCACTCCGGAGCTACCGGCCCACGCGACGGGGCTGTTAAAGTTTGTGGGAGAGTTAAGTACGAAACTGAACTTACGTATTTAAGATAGGAACATGCTTGGGATGTAACGACAACTTAGTTCTCAAAGTAGCCTATATCAAAATACAGATAAATGTTCTTCAATTTTAGCTAGTTCTTATCCTCACTGAAGTAGTGAAATGGACTAAGGACAACAGTCAAATCTTCCAAATGTATTACATTTTATCTATAATTTCGTTTATTATAAATAATTAACTGTCTTTCAATGTGAATAGCAATAAAAATGATTCAGTATTGATAATTGACTAAAAGAGAAAAAAGGGAAACATGTTAACACGCTGAAAAAGAATATCTGAAAATAATAGTAAGAATATATATGAATAATATAGGGACGCAGGAGACATTAGAAAAATAATTTTTGTTATATATGATTTATTTTTTCATACTTTCCAGCTAAAAGTTTACAATTGCTGTGGGTCTTTACCATTGTACAGTACATTTTTATAAATATACAATATGTTACAATTAAAACATATTAAATTTATTGGCAGAAAATAAAAACTATAGAAAAAAAAACAACGCTATTTACAATAAAATAAAATATAGATTATCTTAGAGTAGAATATGTTTCGTTCTCTTATGTTTATGTTTGGGTGTTGATGATTTTGTATAATTTCCTATTTCAGCTGTTAAGGGATTTAATGAGTGTTCTTGAGATTGAAAGAAAGCTAGGGTTGTTTTGTAAATGTAATCTTGTAGGGCATATCTAATTCTGAGTGTATCTTAGTTATTTTGGTATAATACGGATATTTAATGACAGTTCTAAGGCATTTGATTAGACAATTTTGTAGTTTTTTTTTAATGTTATTTCTATTAGTAAAGCTGCGTATGGGGCAGGCGTACGTTAAAATTGGTCTTATTACAGATTTTTATAGAATTAATTTGTTTTGGGGGTGGAAGATTTGATTTTTCATTGAAACATTTCATACGTTATTTTTCGGGAGTTTTATAATTTCGAATTGATGAGCTGATTAAATAGGAGTTTACTGTCGAGTGTTACACCTAAGTATTTAACTGACTTGGCAAGCGAAATTGTAAAGTCATATAATATTATAGGTTCGGCGGAATTATGGGACGTCGTTTTTTTAAAAAAACAGAATATCATTATAAATAATGACACGGTTTCGCACAATAGCCTCTGTGTGTTTTGCCGGTGGGATTATTTGTGTTTGTATGTGTGTAAACAATCTAGCTCAAAAACGAAAAGTCGTAAGAAACTGAAATTATATATTTAAAGCAGCTGTCTGCCTGGGATGTTCATTTCGGTATAATTAATTTCCCATATCTAAAAATAACTATTTCAACAAAAAGTAAGGTGAACGTGAAAGTTGTGTAATTCGCGCACCGCACCATATTTTTAAAGTTTTGTAATACGGTAACTTGTATTTTATTTTGAATTTATTTTTTATGTATGTTCTTATCCATGCAATCATATTGTAATTACTAATTGCTAATTAGAATAAACTAAATTAAAATTTCATCTATTAAGGTAGCATTCTGACCTCTTCTTCTGTATTTAAGTTGTGCATGGGTGGTTTTTCGGCAGCCAACCTCTCCAGAGTGGTACAGATGAGGCTAAACATATGTACAGCCTGGCCTCCAGCTTTTCCAGCTTCCTTTACACTGGGAGAGTAAAGTAAATTGAGTTTGATTTTCTGGGCGGGACCTATTTTAGAAAATCCGTGCATTGGCATAATTATGCAGCTCTGTAATCGAGACAAAAGGTTATGAGTAAGGAACGGACTTTCTCTGTAAAACAAAAACCTGGACATGTTATTATATTTTCACTAATATGTAAGAAAACATGAGAATAATTTAATAATAGAAATATTTAAGGTTTGAAGAGAGAAAAAAAGACAAATATAGAAATGAAAAATCACAAAATTTACAAAAAAAAAAAATTAAATTAAGTAAATATTAAATCCTATCAGTACTGGAAGTAATGGACCGGATTTGATCTGAAATAAAATTTCAAATAAGTACTTGTGTACTTATTAAATTATATATATATTTACAACTTTTCCTTAATCGATCTTTGAGTATTAAATTTAAACATAACCATTTAATTGGGAATAAGGTCACTTATTAATTATTTAATAAACTATTGAATTTCCTCTATTGACGTTTCGAACCCGGTATTTTTATTTTTATAAGTTAACGATGGGATCCTCTTCAAAGTTTTAAAATTAGAGCTTCGATCAGGCCAGGGACACACCGACAGTATCAGCACCGTCCACTAGCACATATATTAAGCTACTGGACTTGTAACCATTGTGATAAAATATAAGAAATGGGTGTATAATAAACTAATAAAGATTACATTTGATAACTGTAGGTTAACAGATAAAGATAATGAATGTTAACGAATAAAGAGATTGAAAATTGAATAAGCATTGATGTAATAAAGCTAAAATAAGAATAAGATAACATGATAATAAGACATCAGTGGATAACAAGCTAGTGGAGGTTACATTTGATAACTGCAGATAAACAGATAACAGGACTAAAGGTTAAATGTAACCTCCACTAGATTGTTATCCTCTGATATCTAATTATCATGTTATCTTATTCTTATTTTAGCTTTATTACATCAATACTTATTCAATTTTCAATCTCTTTATTCATTAGCATTCATTTTCTTTATCTGTTAACCTACATTTATCAAATGCAATCTTTATTAGTTTGTTATACAATCATTTCTTATATTTTATCACAATCTGTTTACTTTTAACTTACATACTATATATTCTCCTTTGTTTTCTATTTTTATTCATACTTATTTTCTATTTTTGTTTGTATCTTCTATATAAATAATACTTGATATTTTAACTACATTGTCCTCCACTATATCTCTGATATCATCTTATTATTTCTTTATAAGACAACTTTTACTTATTTAACATCCACTTATTAGCCATTTATTTTATTTTCACCATGTACCTTTTATATTTTGTAGCCCTGATGAAGACAAAGTATATCGAAACATCAGCATAATAAATAAATAATACTATTTCTATAATTTAGTATTTATTTGATCGCACCTCCCGATCAATTCCTTCTCATATTACATCACGGTCAACAATCTCTACATTATAAAATATTTTATATAAAATAAACTCATTTTACCTGAGGTACATTAATGAATCCGAAATAGAGGGGTACGACGGTATTATTTTTTAACCAGAACTGTTCAGTGACAGTCTCAAAGGTGTTGACGAAGCCGAGGTTGATCGTGTTGGGCTCGATGGAGAGGGCCAAAGGGTTGCTGATGACTGCCAACGCTCCCAAAGTCTGCTGCGGCATTTGGTCAGCTTGGATGCTGATTGGAAACTCCAATAGGGACAAATTTTTATCCAACATATCTCCCGAATCTTCATTTATTTTCCATCTAAAATAAATAATTGCATTTTTTTTTTTTTTTTTTTTTTTTTTTTTTGCAAGAGTCTTGTAGTTACCCATTTAGCCTATATCTATTGATATATTACTGTAATTTTTCAGATATGGGAAATCTAGCTAAGGCCGAATGAAAAATTGGAAGAGTTAAATTCAAAAGTATATTGGTCATACCAATTCTTTACATACAATAACTAAAATTGTCAAGTATTAGTAATTATTTAGTCTTAATTTTATTCACAAAAACGATTTTTACTAGTATTGGTCTTGGTCTTGCAACAGTTACGCGTTCTTGATCTTGGTCTTGCGAATTACAAGACCAAGACTGATTTTAGGCCACAATAAAAATAGGATTATAGTATGAATTATAAGTTTAAAGAAAAACAAATAAAAGTGTCCTAACTGTATGACATTTGAAATGCTCTAAGTTGACTAATAAATCATTAAAAGCAATGTATTCAATAAAATACAATTGATAAAATATTTCTAAACAGTACAGAAGTTTTCCAAAGACATGGCAATAATTGACATTTATCTCTTTGCCTCGTCACACAGGTAGAAGATAACTATTTTTTTCCAAAACACAAGCTCTGTCTGTCACGAAAATGTCTGTCTTTTTCGATCCGGCTTCCAAGTTACTATCTCCCCTTCTAAATCCGTTCTACAGATCTAGAAGAAACTGTCGGTCTACTTTGTTCTGGTTTTGCCAAATGCGAGACCAAGAATAGTATTAGTCTTGCGCAAGAGTCTTGCCGTTACATACTAACCTATTACTATAAAGATGTTACTGTAATTTTTCAGAAAGGGGAGCTTAACTAAGCCCGGATGAAAAATTGGAAGAGTTAAATGCAAAAGTTATACCAATTGTTTACATATAGTTACTAAGATTTTCCAAGTATTAGTAAATATTTTGTCTTAATTTTTATTGACAAAAAGTTTTTTGTTTTTTTCACCATTCTTGGTTTTGGGCTTGCAATAGTCATTTTGCAAGCCCAAGACCGATTTTTGGCAACACTATTTCGTTGTGAAGTGCCATCTCTCACTTCCAAATCCTCAGGAATCTTTATCTGACGAAGTTCCTTTTCGTCTTGGGAGTATTCTCATTTCTGCCTTCTTGATTACCTGCTTGGCATTATTAGGCCATTAGGCCATACAAAAGCTTCGGGAGGAACACTAATTTAAATTCCCTGAATCTTCCCTCTCTAATTACTTTTTTCCAAGGTTTGCTTTTGATATCTGTTGGAAGAGTCTGTTAGCCTTTATCACACGATCTAGAACCGTGAAGTCTGTATCACCATCTTTGCTTCTAACAGTCCATAAATTCGTTCGTCATCACATAAAATCCTGGGCTCCATATATTTTCTTTCAGCCAATATCCAAGGGTGTAAAATATAATCATATAATTTATCTTAATAATTTTGAATGCCAAAATATTTAATATATAGGTAGTTATTTATGTAATATTATAAATATAAAAGAAACAAACTCATAACCAAATGTTTGATTACCCAATCTTGGCCCTGAGGAGGACATCTTGTTTCTGGTTAGGGCGTATGATGAACTTCGAGGGCCGTGCTTGGAAATGTGTATTTAGTTTAACTGGAATCTCAATTTTGACATTTACGAACTTTTTGGATACGTTGGTCACCTGGAAGGACGTCTGCCACACACCTGTGCCGACCATCGTCACCTGCATGTCAACCATCGCTGGGGATATCGATAAAGGCTGTTCGAACATTGTTGCAACCAGGTTAACCACCTAATAAGCAATGAGCACATTTTATCAAAACAAAAAAATATTCATTGACTAACAATAAAGACAAATATTAGAGCTTTATGTAAACATTTTTAGAAGGCAATTTTTGTTTTGGTAGAATATTATCCAATAAATATAGCTTGACAAGTCTTAAAATCCAATTCATCAATTATCAACTAAATTGGCTAAAGAGGGAATATTCGTGGGTGAGTAGAAGGGGTTTTAATTTTGCACATTTTGGTGAGGTTTTGAATTTTTGGAATGAAAAGTTTCAAACCATGGGACTAGGGGAAAACATGGAACAGAGCGTAGCAAGTGTAACTATATTTGATCAACAATTGTTTTAATTCTACTTTCGCTTGCAATGTTTTTATGGAGAGAACAATGAAAGATCTCGGAGGGGGGTATAGGTTCATGCATCATCGACCAAGTGGGCTGGAATCCCCTGGAAATATTATATTTCGTAATTGAGAATCTCGATACCATAGGTGGACATCACATCGTTTACTTTTTTCTGAAGAGTGATCAAATAATTAATTTTTTACCACCATTCAGGGATGTTCATTTCGCTACAACAAAAAATTATCGAAATCAAACCGGTATTAGCAATAATTACATAAGACAAAGACCACTATTGCATTCCATTGCAAATCAATTTTTTATTGAAGCTTCTCAAACGTATTTGAATTAGAAAAATACCTAATCTGTGCTGAAGGTTGAAGAAGGTGGATAAAGTTTGTCTTATTTTTTTTTATATATGAGAAAAAGGTCCAACAAAATTTCATTTTATAATTGAAAGTAAAGGAACAGGGAAAAAAAATGACTTAATGCTTGAATTGAAATTATTTCGATGGAATACAAAAGGTCATTTTTAGATTATGTCCAAAAATATTTTTTCAGATTTTTTTTATTATTGTTCTTCCCTTTCTCGCCTTTTAGATTGTACGGGGGTTTTCCCGGGCTAGGATTAAGGTCATAGTATTAATGGCAGATTTTAAAGCCCCCCCCTTGACATCCCAATGCGAATTAATTTATAACCCATGACTTTCGGTAGTTAAGTTGTCGTGCAACACGTGCACACGGTTTAGCCCGCCTTCAGAACAATTATAGCAAGAGTTTATTCTTCAATTATTCAAGGACCGAAAACCACTAAGAAATGAGTTAAAACTCAATTTGACTTTTGGGTATTCCGCTATACGCATTAGTTGAATAAAACACTATAAAAGTATAAAAATATAAAATAGGGTGTATAAAAATAAATGACCGTTTTATCTAATTCAAGATTTCAAAGGACTGTAAATGTTTTAATCATATTTCATACTTACCAATACTTAATAATCCCTTTAGAGCATTCCCTAAGCTTGTTATTCCCATTCGACTACTTTAAAAAAAAGCTTCAGTTTAGTTATTTGTTTCAAAGAAGATACATGACATTGTCCTACGGAATTCTCGTAATTTTAAGGCATTACTGGAAAAAAATAGCAGTAGACTGGTCCCTCACGAACTTACTCCTCAGCAATCAGCTAAGAGGTTTGAAATTTATTTAAGAACTCTTATGATATGAGATTTTACAGGAAGATTGCCACCTGTGATGAAAATTGGGTCTACTGGCGAAATCCAAATACCAGTGAGCAATGGCTAGATCGCGGTCAAACTGCTTCTCCGGTTGCTGTAAAGGGTCAATTTGAAAACAAAATCTATGCTTAGCGTTTATTTTAATTTTGAAGGTGTAATTCATCAACTGAACTACTGAAAAGATTGTACGTAAAGTTGTCAGAGCGTTGTACTGCTTTGATCAACCGAAAATGATTTTTATTCCAACAAGATACTTCCCGTCGAACCAAAGACAAGTTTAAAGAACTTCATGGGCTCGAACTCCTGCCTCATCCACCATATAGTCTACACCTCAAACTATCGGATTAATACTTATTTAGATCCATGACCCATTTTCTTCAAGGAAAAAAATTCGATAATTTTGCGGATGTTCAAACTGCGGTCCAAGAGTTCTTTGAATGGTATCAGCGTTGGATGGAGCAATTGGCTAGAAGATGGCTAATGATGGTTGATAACAATGGACTACACTTTGAGTATTAATTGTATTTTATATCAAAGAAATAATAATACAAATATCTGATAGATAAACAGTCATTTTTTCTTTTATACATCCTATTAAAAGAACTCTGACAAGCCGAAAGACGTAACTGACTTCCTCATCTTTGGTAAGAAATCTTCCTTCGAAGGATACTTCAAGTTGATCTTCAACCATCTCAACATTCCCTGCCAGGTGTGGCAAGAACTCGATGGGTACGCTCATCTTGGTTTCCCGATCTAGAAAAATGCCTCGCGTCAAGTGTACCCTGAACGGCTGGTACACTTCCTCTATCATCAACTCCAGCAGGTCCGTGACAGCTAAGTAACTCTCTTCTGTCCTTGGTGATTTCTTTGGGGACAAATTTTGGTGGATTTTTACATGTGATTGATGTTTAGATCTAGTGACCCCTAGACTAATATTGCTCTGAGGTTCTGAATATTTGTTGTTTGCTTGTTTTGAATTTTCTGCATTAGGATTTTTTATACCTTCAGGATGAGATTGTAGCATATAACTTCTTGGACTGTCTATTTCACTTAATGGGGATAACTTGCTTTTTTCTGGTGTTTCTGAAATTGAATATGTATTTTTTTACTAATTAGGTTATGTGAAGTATAACTGAAAATAAGCTAGAAAATAAAATTTTACCAAATAGGTCTGTTGATGTTACCAAAAGTGGATCACTCATTATTTTCTTTTTTCTGTGAATGTAGACCGCGTACTCTATTTTACTGTTGTTAGTTATATCTAAATATTTTGTAGAACTAAAATCAATCCATGACGGTACATCATTGAATCTGCAAAAAAAAAAAATCTTGTACCTTTAGGCGGAATATTAAGAGTTGATTAATTATTAATTCAGCTCAGGTATATAACTATTGCTCACCAGCGCGTCACATCACGCAGGCACACACAAAAAAAAAATTATTCCTATTGTTACAGACGGTGTTTTTATCAAATACGAATGTGGATTTATCAACGATTGAAAAGATCACCAAAATTTGAGAAATGTTTTAGCGCTCAAGATGGAGTCACCGACTTGATTTTAAGAACCACTTGACAGTTCCTAAAAATATCATTCATAAAATTGAATTCATATTTTTCAAACCCCCTTGGGCATCAGGAAGCGTTTCCCAAACTATCTGAGTGTTCATATTAAGCGTTTTTCACCGGATGGATATTTATGAGTAGATCAGGCACCGTGTATCATTACAGTATTGTTGAGCTCAAAAGCAGAAGCAAAACAACATTAGTATCGTGATGTGGAAAATTCTCGTACTTAAACATGGTATTTAGGTTAGTATACATAGGTTTGTAAAACAGTACACCATAATACATTTGTACTTATTTCAACTTGTGCCGGTGAGTGACTGCTTTATGGCTTATCGATGTCGTTTCAAACTACACGTTCTGGTGGAATAACTGAGGGGTTTTTAAACAAAGGCAGTAAAGAAAATAAAACAAATAAACTTACTGTATTATTGGATTTTCCACTTTTATATCGCTGGTAAATCTGATGCATTGAACTGGAACAGATATGCGGTAGAAGCTGTTTGTCTTAAGTACTTTTGACCAGAACCAAATAGTACCATTTATACCATTTTTGACTTCATCCCAACGTTCTGTCATGAAGATTACTTGGAAGTTCTGACTGCCACCGGGACGTATTCTCGTCACCATTTCTGGATAAATCTGTGAATTTGGAACAAGTTTTCATACTTAGTTCTGATCAGTTAAACATGAATCAGAACCTCTTGACAAACAACAGTTATACAGGGAGGTGTGATAAATGATCTTTGTCATGATTATTAAAGTCTAGAAGTTTCTTTGTTTGCTACTTGGAACCTCTCTAATAAATACTAATTAAGTATTCCTAAAGTACGCCTGTTCGGGATTAAAAAAGAAAAAATCTGCTTTTGTTTCATAACCGCACAGATTTATTTTAATCCTGCAGTTCTGGATTCTTGGTCCAATTTTAAAGATTAGTGTTATGGAAGTTTTTAAGTCATTTTTCAACCGTGTAATTTGGATTATGTCACTTAAAAAAAAAATCTTGAACTTGAAATGTGAATTGTATAACAGATCAGAATAGCACTAAAGATACCACCTTGAGAAACAGCAAGAGGATCAGAATAGAGGATCAGAATGATGAAAATTATAATTTATTTCGAGGATTTTCTATCTGAAATTGGATGGATTATAAAAATTAACATTATTCATAATGCTGTACATGGTTCAGAGCGGAGATGGGCAAATGCTACTCGGAGTACAGAGTACCAAATATATTACTCAAATTGAATCACTATTTCAGTTAATCGTTTGACAGAAACTCAAGTAGTAATTAAATTCTTTAGTAATCAACAAAGATCAGTATTTGAGTAAAATACTTGGTATTTCTTTCGGATCTCTGGATCAGAAAGCGTTGAATAGTTCGATAATTTATACATTAACGAGTCATTACTGTCCTGCACATTGCTTAAATCTAATTAAAAAGGTAAGCGATGATAAAAATGAATTACCTTCATTACCAATTTTAAAATAGTAAATAAAATATGTATCGATATTGATAGTGTTTAATAAATACAACCCCTACCTCAAACATAATTTCGTCTAACTGTGGCTCCACGTAAATCATGAAAATACCGCAATCAATGGATTCCTTTGTTGGATTGTACATCTTGACAGTTTCAACATAATCATCGTATGGCAAGAAATCCTTAAAATAACAAAATATATTTTTAATTTTAGGCAAGAACTTTTACGAAATGTTATAATTATTTTTCGAACAGAATGATGAAATAATTCGTTAACTTTATTTTACTTTCATTAGCTTTAAAACAACATCTTTTGAAAAATCAAAAACGATGTTAAATGGTGATTATACAATTCAAAGGAATGAATTGACAGGTGGCGGAGCTAGTCTGGTAAACGGTATTTTTAATCCTTAACGACAGTGGGAGTGTCAGTTCATTTCTCGTGACTGACGAATAAATATTATATTATATTATAAAAGAAATAAATATTAATTGAGCCTGTTGGGAATCGAACCCACAACTTCTGCACCGGACGCTCAAGAACCTTAGACCTGAGGCGTGTTCGGCCATCACGCCCTCTATGATATGTGATAAAGAAGTGATAATAATGTCTATAAAAAATTAATCACAAATAAAAAAATAATAAACCATCTCAAATACTACTGGCACCACGCTGCTGTTAGTTCCTGGTGCAGACCCCTTTTTATCAATTTGTCAACATCCGCCTAAGACTTTGTGAATAGCTTCATCGGCCGTTTTATCATTAAATTAACTAATTTAATTAGGTTTTAACTTTCATTTGGATTACACTGGAATCGTAATTTTTTGTGATAATTTTATCACAAAATACATTATTTTTGTATGCCACCCTTATTATCGATTTTGTGATCAAATTATCTTACGATTCAAATGGAAATCAACTGGATGTTCATGAATTTTTAGTACCTAATGAAATAGACAAAGTTTATCGATCTCCAGATTGTAAACGCGCAAATGGAGATCATAATTTATGTTACTTATTTTGTATTGTTAATATAGAGCCTAAGATTCTGGAGTTTTCTTCACCCAAATATGACACATTTCATTTAATTAAGAATAATAAAAAAACATAAAATACATCATAAAATAAAAAACATCATTTTCCGTTTACGGAACTTTATCTACAAAATGATGCTTTAGATTTATCGTTCATATGTGCTCTGTCCGTGAGTTTCCCAAATTCCTTAGTACATTAAATCGCCCATTCATTCTTAATCGTTTCACCATATGTTATCTTATTTACAGGTTAAACGTATTCCTTATAGCTGGAGAAGAACAAGGATTACCTTCAGTACTGAGGGGCGTTAGAGTCCAAATCTACAGCATAAAGACTCAAGAGTCTTCCCATTTCAGGCCAGAGGCCCATAATGGGAGTCCCAAGAGCATTGGGACGATGGCGCCAACAAGCAATGTTTGGAACGAAGTGGGTATAATCCACTCCTGTTTCAGTCATTATTTGAGCATTTTAGTTACCAGAATGACTAATTCCAATTTCAACATTTTTGAGACATTTTAGTGAGATAATTCTAGTCGAAAAATTTATATCTGTACGGACAGTGAGTAAATTGTTTCCAGAATAGGTGATTGTAGTGTTGAAATATAGAACTGTGAATAAAAGTATAAATTTCAACACTAGCAATATGTTTAAAATTAATAATAAAAAAATGTTGAAACTGGAGTTGGTCATCCTGCCAAAAGAGACGCCCATTTATTTCTGTCCGATCGCAAATAAAAATTAATATTCTTGACAATTCCAGGTTATTTAATACTATAAAGGGTGGAATAGCGAAGTATAAAAAGGATCACAAGGCTCGTCTACAGTGAGTAGAAAAGATTAAAAATAATTTGTTATTTAATTTTCGAAAAATATTCTGTAAATTAATTTTTACTTAATATAAACAGTGTTAATGACTAAAGATAAATATGCACGAATTATAGATAAACACTATAATTATCCTACTTACCCTGAAGATGATAGAAGCCGGTCTGACTATTAACATATCATTGTCAGGTAGTTCAGGTTCATTTTTCTCTTTATTCCAAGCCTGCTCTATTTCACTCCACACCTTCTCCAGTTTCTTAATTAGTAGGTTCGTTTCTTGGTTCATCTTACTTGACGTCACTGGTGACTTAATACATTATTTATGATTAATTATTTCTAATGAAATATAGATACAGCTTGAAGTGACAAGTAATTGATTCTGAAACGTCTGACACAATTTTCCTTTCTATAAATTTAAGCTACTAAATCAGAAAATTTTAACGAATTGATGTCTACAAGTAGAAGCGTCTAACAATATAATACACGATAGAAGGGAGAGTAGGATAAAAGCGTCCAAAAACTGCATTAAATATCTTATGAAGTGTCTCAAGTGTTTTCCAGGTAGCAAACTGAGTGTTAATTCCGAACAAACAAAAAGTTGAATTTTTCCTATTAAGTATATATCACTACTGTTAGTGCAAAAGGTCGTATGTCAATATTTTCAACTTTTATTCTATTAGTGCTAAAGATATAATTTTGTAGTCTGCAACTGATTGTAGTAGATAACCCCAGTATTTACTCCTGTGACATTGTTTGAGGGAATGAGAAGGAATATATAGGAATGTGAGGCTGCGCGATGAATTGTACTCAATTGTGCAGTGGAAAAATTATTCATTGAAAAGTCTCATATCGATAAAAAAAATCGACGAAGGAGGAAGAAGGTTGGGATAGAGCCGAGCAGGTAGCAACAGCTGGAGAAGGACGCAGGAGAGAAGAGAACTCACTCTAGGACGGGACAGGAAGAAGGAGGTTGTCAGAAGAGAGAGGCACTGCACTGAACATTAAGAAGATCAAGCCTAAAGTTATAAGATTCAATCCAGTTGTAAAATAAATTGTTTTGTTAGACAGGAGTGAAAAGTCACTTATTTATTTAGTTGTCTCATAGGCCTTACAATTGAAGAACAACAAACCAGGTGAGTCAATTCATTCAAAGTGTATTTACTCAGTCCCACACTATATACATATATTCTTATTGTTTCTTATCACTCAGTGTCACAAAAGTATTAGGTTCCCGAATTCCCAACAACAGTTAAACATTCTCAAAAAGTCTATATCCAATGCTGAGGTTTTGTTTTAGTATTCACGAGTGTAAATAACCTAGTCCCCCGACTAAACGGAAGGCTATTCGCAATTAGCCGCCAAAACGGGTTGTTTACAAACGGATCCCGAACATGTTATCAACATGATATAAGCAGACTGCTGCGATGGAAAATAGCAGAGAGTAATAAAATATGAAGTTATAGTTCTTATGCTCTCCTGTAAAACATTCAATTTTTACGTACGGTCTTTTGCACTAACAGTAGTTTTATCAATGTTCACTATACACTGGAATTTTTTTAAATCACGAATCATCAAATATGCAATCTGCAAATACAGAACTCTTTCCCATTTTAGTATTCAATGAACAAAATTCGTGAATAGCAAACCTGTACATGGTGAGGGACTACTGATTTTCCGAAAACTGCTTCTCCCAGAGATTTTATTCCCATATGAAAATTGTTAGACCTTGTAATATAGATATTTTTTAGCCAATGAAAACGGTGAGGAAGCTATACTGACCTTAATTGGTAGACGTTTTTCTTACGTGTTACTTATGATCTTGTACATTTATTTTTCATACCAAGTCAGTTCTACGAGAATTCAATGTTCTTGAAGTTACTTTATTTATTTATTTATTTATATATGTTTTAGTTTTAATTGAGATTGATTTTTTTATATACTGTATTATTTTCTATATTTTTATTTCTTTATTTTTTTTTAGTGTAGCAGCGATTATTTTGTGTCAATTGTTATTTTTATTGCGTATAGTTCTACGTATTTTGTAAGTAGTTTCATTAGTTTGGTTTTGCAAATATTCTTTTTTATCTATATATTTATTTAATATAACAGTTCTTTTAGGCGGGTGTAATTTTTTTTTTTCTTTAACATATTGTTATTCTTTATCAGTTTCGTCTCAGGATAAAGTTATTTTTTCATTGATATTTCTATTGATATATGCAGTTAGAACTTTTTCAAACCTAGATCACGATATATTACGTTGGCTTACCTTGGGCTTAGGTATGTCCTTGTTATCTTGAACTGAGTTAAATCTTCTTTGCTTTGTTTTAAGCATATGTATACTCTTGGTCTTCCCCTTGATTGGCGTTACGAGAGGTTCCTCAGATTTGGTTACCGGAGGTTCCATTAGGCATGGAGTATGTTTTGAACCTTCCTCTTCCTCTATTATTGGTTCCAGAATTGATTTCTTCGCCTTCTTTTTTATGAATTTTGGAACTGAGTGGGACTTCAGGTTTTTCAGTTGCTTTTGTCTAGTCAACTCTTCTTGTAGTAATCTTGCATTGATCTCCGCTCTTTTTTCTATTTCTTTCAATTTCTGTTCGTTTAACTTTTTCAATTCCGATCTGAAAACAAATGATTTTCACTTTCAATAATTACGGAAACGAATCATTATCATGAAAGAAAATTGCTGTAAAAGAAAAATATATATATCAAACAGCGCAATAATTTCATTAAGTATTATCTATTAACATAATTAAGTTTGATTTTTTAGCACAAGCTTATGTGTACACACACACACACACACACACACACACACATATGGTCTCCAAGACCACATCCCGATTCCCGATTTAAGTACACGAGGGTAGGGTCATCAATCCTACGCCCGGTCGGTGGGACTGGCCTCCAGTGGACTGACGGGACTCTCACACTCGGGGAGGCAATGAATCTCGGGCAGCGAGGCTTTCCCTGGTGGACAGTCACCCATCCAAATGCTAAATCGCACACGGCGTTGCTTAACTTTGATTACGTATTGCAAGCGCCTTGGCCCGCACGGCTACCCCAGCCCCACATATATATATATATATATAAATATATATATTTTTTTTTATTTGTATATTATATTCTATAAACGAAACATTAAATGTCCAATATCTAAAGCCTACTAATCAAATAATAAACATAAATACTAAAATACATTTAATTAATACTTCAATAATAGCCACAGTTTCCCAAGTTACTGCGTTAATTGGGAAAGGCCGAAGTCAGCGATACGCGGCACGAGACCACGGGCTAACTGAAACAACGGTTCGGCAAGCAGTCCAGAAGTACCGGGAGGCAGGAAGCAACGCCAGGAGGCCGTGATCATCTCGCCATCCGAGAACGACAGGTCCAGCTGATAACCGCTTCATTACTATGTAGACTCTCAGAAACACCTAACAGACTTTAGTTAAGACTTCTCATCGATTGATTATAGCTCGATTGATGCGAATGCCAGCACGCACACAATAAAGGATTGCTGAACTCAACCTGCAAGCTAGGGTTCCCGCATGCGGCTTTCTACGGACCGCAGCACACCGAGAAGCTCGCCTTCACTTTTGTCGTGAACACGCTGCATGAACAAAAGATAATTTGGCCTCTATTCTGTTTTCTGACGATACTGTATAGCCTTTATGGTGTTGACTGACGAGTTCGAGTGTGGAGAACCCAAGTAAGACATTAGCACAGTGCAGTATTGCGAGAACAGTGCAGTTCGAGAGGAGGGAGGTCGGTTATGTTTTAGCGTGGAATATATTTAGAGTCAAGTACAGATCTCCATCAGTGGCGAATCCAGGAATTTTCTCAGGGGGAGGGGAGAGCGCACCCACCCATTCCCGTTCCCCCACCACTAACCATTCCCCCTACTCCTTAGCTGAGATTAGCCGCTCAAAAGTAAGATGGGCGGGGTGGCCGAACGGGCTAATGTGTGTGCACAGCACCACCGCCGTTGTCCGGCAAGCTGATCTATAAAACAATGGATTTAAAATAGTCACGAGTTCCGGGGGAGTCTTTTAAATATCGTATAGCCTTAAAGGCGAGGAAGGGGAGAACCCAAAAAAAAAATAAAAGAAAGCCGCTCAAAAGTATTAGTTCTTGTCACAATAATAATTTTGTATGTCACATTAGAAAATTCGATTTGAAGATGAATTATTCTTATATTTCTTTTTTATTTAATTAGCTGTTCTTTAGAATTATTTTTCCACTATCCAGGGGGGTTCGCTCTCTAGTTTGCTAGTGCTGGTCACTATAGTATTAGTAGCTGGTCACGATAGTAATTTATTTTTTATTACATCAGGAAATTCGTCTATGAGGATGAATTTGACCTATATTTCTCTTTTCTTTAAACAGTTGATTTTCAGAACTATTTTGCAATTTTTCAATCTTCCAAGGGGAGGGCGGCGGCCTTGTGACCTCTATATGTTCCGAAGGCCGACACTCAATACACACACGTACACCACCGACATCCTCGAGGAGGTATATGTGGCACCGTTTGGCCTGTTTATCGCCCTTTATTTTCATTTATGCAGGGTAAAGCTCCGAAAATGTATGCGACTACCTATACGAGGTTAGTGTCGGAACCTAGGAGTGGTCAGCACGCAGCCTGGACGTCAACCTTATTTAGTATATATTATATATAGCATCTTTGGGACCAACTTAGGACATCCATCCATCCGCCAACCAAAGCTTCCATGTTAATTTTAAGTACATGAATGGGGTCAGATTCAAGATCGGATAGCCAACATTATTCATCGCATGAGAGTGTAGGCCGTTATTCAAGCAAAGGGAAGCAACACTAGGTACTAGAGAGTCAATTTCAAATTTTAAAAAAAGTTAAGCATAAAAGATAGGTTTCATTTTTGTTTAAAAGAGTGTAGATTTGCTTTATTTGACAATACAAATTATTTTAAAACTAATTTTTGTTGCATTTTCTTTGATTTGTGGTCTCCTAGAAACACTACATCATGTGTCACACTACATTAAAATGTGTAATCATTTTTTCTGTTAGGAAAGAAATAATGACCTGTCTCGGGCATCAATAGTAGATAATTAAGACATTTCTAAACTCAGAGATCACTGATGATCATCAGAAATTCAACTGAGCATTCCTAAACCGATTGATATAACAGTTGGCAAATTCCTTACCTTAACACTTAGATCAATGATGAACATCGGCAATCCATCAATGTATTAGCGCTGAGTTTATGAACTTGCACCTGACTATCAATTTCTCCTAATGGTGTATACCTGATATAACCTAGAGTACGGCTACAAGAGACCGATGACCCGAGATCTCTGAAGCCATTCAACCGAGGATAGTAATGTACTTTCCAAGCTCCAGAGTACATAATTATTCAATACTTTTCCTGACTCTTATTATAACTTCAGTTGGATCCTAACTGAACCTTGTCAATTCTTTTTCTATAAAGAATCCATCCAGGAATATTATTATGCAATCTTTTCTCATTTTTTTTTATGTCATTATTTTATGTCATTATTTATTTATTTTTCGATACCATTAATTTTATAAAAACAAAAGTGATAATTCGGATAGTAATAATTTAGCCTATTAATCGAAAGTCTGCATCAAATAATTTACATTAAATATAGATTATTATTTTGATCATTTAAATCTTAAGACTCTGGCGTGCGCATCTCACAACATTCATAAATAAATCTTTGTTTTTAACATTTTTTTTTTTTAAATAAAAGGTGTATTTATGCAATTATGTTTATTACAATACATTCCAGGTGAAAGGAAAAAAAAAATAAAGCGTTGTAGTCATATTCGCTGAAAATACGGGCACTTACAGGTGACGTAAGTTTTTTGACACAACTTGAGATGAATCTCAACTTATTTCCTAATAGACCCTCAATTAAATTAATATGAACTTATTTATTTATTTATTGAGTAATGTAACATTCAATCATTTGGAAAATGGTTATGGCAAATTTTTAAACATGGAAGTTTTTCTAAAAGTGGGGTAATAGCAGTGTAGTTGTAGTGTGATAAAAAAAATAAAAAATAATCGCGAATAATTTATGGGTTTTTTAAAAACAGAAGTTAGTATAGATGTTCAAAATTTATCATTAAGTAACAGAAAATTGTTTCTTCGAAATAAGTTGTCGTGACAAAAGTCAGAAATGCATAATGCATTAATAATAGCTTGCACATGTTATTTTATTTGAAATCTTAGGAAAAATATTAACAAAATAAAACTGTACCTATAATTTTGGTAAATTACATCTCCATTTCTCATTAGATCATTATACGCCAAATCATGCCTCTTGGCTAGATTTTTTAAATATTGTATTTTTTTTAATTCGTAATCCGCCAACTTTTCATCATAATGGCAGTAATGCTTCTCAGCCTGGAGCTTCAACTCTTCCTGTAACAATGATGAAATATTTAAATAAAATGTAATAGTTGAATACAAAAGAATATATATATATATATATATATATATATATATATATATATATATATATATATATATATATATATATATAATTCAGTATATATTTAATTCATTCAATATTCAATCCAGTCTATAGCATTCCGGTTTATATTTATACATATATATTTTAATTTAATTATATTACTTATATAACTGTCCTCGGAAGCAATTAAGATGAGAATTGGGAAATTCACTAAAGTAAGTGAAGATAAAGCGAAATATATAATATCACATCAAACAATCCATAACGTTCGGATATGCGTGGAAAATCTACCTCAAGAGTAGACAGTTTCAGATACCTCTGCTCCACAAGGACTTCAATAAATGATCATCACAAATCTACAAGTGAAAATAAAGATTCCTTCTCCCTCCCCTCTATTTTATGGTACTGGTAATCGCAAAAAAAATCATTATAAATCTCATATTAAGGATATACGATAAAGCCAGTTCTAATATATGTTTAAGCCAAACGTAATAAATGAAAAAATTGAGAAGAAAATTCTCCGCACTTCAATCAGAGCTACCTGGAATAACATTTTATGACATCGAGGAGAAGAATCAATAAAATATTGCATATAGAAACTGGTTAGTCTATATTCAATCCATTATATATTAATTCAGTCAATATTCAATTCAGTCTATAGTAGACCGGTTTATATTCAATCCTGTCAATATTCAATCCAGTCTATAGCATATGTGTGTTATAGTATTATCAAGTTATTTGTATTATCCAAAGTTCCAGCCTTTATATCTGTGGTTCAATTCTGATACCTTAGTTCCACATTAGGTTTGTGAGAGGACCTAACCATCTTATATATACCGAGGAAAACCTGTCAAAACGAATAACATTCCTGTTTCCTCCATTTATGCATACCTTGAAAGGAGTTGATACGAAATTTAATATTGTTTTCTCCGAAGGAAACAATTTCGGCTTAAATCCTTGGGTGTTTTTAACAACCAGCAGAACTACATGATTTATTTATGGAATTTAAAACACCCTAGAGCTTCCTTATACAATAGATCCAGTCCGTTCTTAGTTTGCGTGAATTGAGTTGAACGATTAAAACTAGAATGAATTAATTTTTACTACCGCGTGGATTAAAGAATTGAGAAATCTATAATAAGTTATGGTTCTTTGTAACCTTCCTGCCTTATTGGGACGAAAGGCTCACAAACAAAGCAAAGCAAACATAAATATTTAGGGTAACTCAGTTAATAACGGCCAAAACGACTTTTTCCGAGTAGGAGTCTGTCCGTCCGGTGTTGCTCTCTAAAGTGGAATTAAAGGTTTGCTACGGGCACTAGCGGATCCAGGATTTAATTTTTATTGGGGGGGGGGCTTCAGCCCTAAAGATATTTTTCCTATATATAACGATAATTAATTTGAAAAAAAAAGAAAGATACTAACTACCTATATGAAATGGTGTTTCAGTGATTCTTGAAGTCCTAATTAATGTAATTACACGAACAATAATACTTTAAGAGATAGTTTTTAATATTTTTTTCTATAAAACATGGTTATATTTTACCGTATTGTGGGATGGGGGGGGGGGGCTTCAGCCCGAAAGCCCCCTCTCCTCCGTAAATCCGCCTGTGGCTACGGGAGCTTACGATAAGCGAGTGTACGTCTGTAACCAACCGATGGTGGAAGAATTAAAAGCAAGGATGACAAGTCGGAAATATGTGCTGTTTTGCACTGCGAAAAATATTATTATTTTTTAAAAACTTTTATCATGATATTTACAACTGTTAGTATTAGTATTAATACATCAAGTAAATGTGTACAGAGGAATATAATCACATGAAACACGCTTGTTGAGAAACTACCCATTGGTAGCACTCTAATAATTGTCTTGAGGAGATCACGGAGCCATCTTCTTTTCAGGCGACTCGGAGGGTTATCAGGAATCGAAGAGGAAGCAAGGTTAGAAACAAGAGGATACGGATGGTTATGAAGTTTATTATGAAAGGATAGGAATCTGGATTTGGACAAATCGGAAACGTTTGAGGTCTTATTATTAGGATTATTTTATTTGTGACAAAGTAAGCAGATTGAGGATTTTACATAGGATTTTGGATTATAAAGATTGGATACGTGAGGAATTTGATGGTTTAGTGGAGGCCCATAGCTCAACTTCATAAGTCCAAATAGGTCTTATTATAGTAATGTATATGAGTCGTTTGTAATTAATTGGAAGTTTAGACCTTTTGTCTAGTAAGTGTTGGAGTAAGCGGAAACGTCGAGCAGTTTCTTATCGTTTCAGTCTTGTATGAGGACTTCAAGTGAGACGTTTGTCCAGCTAGAGTCCTAGGTATCGGATTTGTTCTACAGGGATAAGTGGGGTGTTATTAAAGGATACCATATGAGAGCAAGTCATTGGCTTACGACGAAGGGTAAAGGTGATTTGATGGGATTTATTAGAATTTATTTTAATCCTGCAGTTTTGACACCATTTTTCAAGGTTTGTGATGTGTGATTGAAGAGTTTGGGATGCAATTGTTGGATCATTATTAACTGACAGGATACATATGTCATCAGCATACATAGTGATGACATTGTTAGGACGGGTTGGGATATCACCTGTGTAAACTGTGTAAAGAATAGGACCAAGGATACTAACTTGAGGAAGTAAAAAATATTAAATTACTGATCTCTTTCTCACAGAACAAAGATCACGGTGTATGAGAAAGTCATCAGACCCGCCGTCACCTACGGCTCTGAGACTTGGGTGATCTCTAAAGCATCTGAAAAAAGGCTACTCGAATGGGAGAGAAGGGTTCTCCACATAATCTATGGCCCGGTGTGCCGACTGGGACAATGGAGAATTCTCACTATTAAAGAACTATATGAAATGTATGCGAGGCCGGATTTGGTCTCAATAGTGAGGGGAAACCAGATTAGATGGTTGGGCCAGGTGACGCGTTTACCCCGAAACGCAATTCCCAAACGCTTGCTAGAGGATCGGTCTGCTGGAAAACGTGGAAGGGGAAGACCACGCCTGAGATGGCTGGACCAGGTAGAGGACAGCCTGAAAAGGATGGGAATTCGAAGATGGAGAATGCTCGATCGGGATAGAGGAGAGTGGCAAAGGATCATAAGAGAGACCACGTTCTTACAGGACAGTAGCGCCAAGAATAAATATAAAAAAACGTATCCATGAAAAATTTTTATATTTCACTTCTTCTTTGACACAAAGTAAAATGAAATAGTATCTTAAACAATGTCATTGCATTCAATCCGTGGTTTTTAAATACTTTTTCAAACTTTAAAAAAAATTTAAAAGTTTAAATTCAGTAAGAAAATTTCATTTAATTTTCTTGAAAACATGTTATTATTTATATTTTTTTTCGCCACTCATCGTTACCCTCTACAACTTCCTATATTAGATATTGTTTATTCTAAAATTCTCCGCTTTCCAACGATATAATACACCTTTTGACCAGTATTTCCGGAGATTCGTTTTCGACCTGGATAAGTATTTTTATTTTTTTCTCCTTTATTTAATTAACAAATTCTTTCAAAAGTTATATTTAGAATTTTTCTATAACTCCTAAAGCAGACCCTACACGGTAATTCATGAATGAACGTCACAAGAAGTGCCAAGATTGCCCGCTATCGCTTTGATCATGAAGACCTTTACACGTTCAATCATTACTGATCATTACTTATGTGAAGTTTCCACTTTTTTTTCTCTCCAATTTATTGCCTACTTGACTATCTAAAGAAAAAATAGTTGAAAATGGTTAGTAATAATATAGACTAGGGATATAAACAAATATTTACTTTTATGGAATTATTTACTTAATAACGAGACCTAGGTAAACTAACCTATCTAGTAGTAAGGTTAGTCTCATAGAAAATCGTTTTGACAAAAGTTAGTAAAATATAAGTCTACTTCTAACAAAAATTAAGGAAAGGTATTGCGAAAATAATAAATTTGTTGAGAAAAATGGGAAAAGAACTGATAAATATACACAACGTTAAAGTTTTTTTTTCTAAAGTAAATTGTGAAGTTTCCTCATTTTTTTTTTAATTTGTTGCCCACTTGACTATTTAAAAGAAATAGTTGAAGATGGTTTAAAATTATAAACAAGGGATATGAAAAATTAGTTAACTATTTACTTATAATGAAATACAGAAATTTATAATGGTTGTGAGGCCTAGGTAACCTAACCTATCCAGCAGTATGGTTAGTCTCCCCACTACTTTTACCTCTGTCCCCCCTCCACTTCTTGTGAATGAACCTTTCATTTCCGGATGTTCGGTGCTGCAGCGCACCACCATCAGTACTTCATTCACTACCTTACACGACAATTCGGAACGTCATTAGTGCAATTCCGATTGACCGTGTAGGCTCCCCTTAACAATGAAAAATAGTTATTATTTATAATTAACCTAATTAAAGGTACTTTAGAGGAAGATATGATAATGTTCTAATTTCACAAAGGAAAAATTCAACAAATTATTCACTAATTGAATTTTCTAAAAAGCTACATGACAATTTTTCGGAATAAACGTTGAAGCTTAATTATTTAAATATAATATCAAATCTATAATCACTAAACTACAGTAAATGTATTTAAGGTTATGAACATATGCTTTATACATCCATGATGTGATTTTACATTTTACTTCTTCTTTCACACAAGTACAATGAAATAGTTTTTTAACTGTCCTATTGCCTTGATTGGGTGGATTTCAAATACTTTCTACAAACGTAAAAATGTTTTTTAAAGTTTACATTTAGTTAGTAAATTTCATTTAATTTCCTCAAATACATGTGATTTACGCTAAATATTATCAGTTTTCAAAAATTATTATTTATAATTTGTTTGCCACTCTTGTTTGTTACCTTCTACAGTTTTCAATATTAGATATGTTATTTTCAAAAATTCTCCGCTTTTCGACCTGTATAAGCATTTTTATTTTT